GTCCTTGCTGGCAAAAAACTGGTTCAGGTGGTTTTTGACATCTTCATTTGAGGTAAAGGTTTTGCCATCCAAAAAATTTTGCAGGGACCGGAACAAATAGTAGTCGGAAGGCGCCAGATCTGGAGAATATGGTGGATGTTGCGGTACGTCCCATTCAAGCTGTAAAAGTTTTTGGCGAGTGACCAAATTTGTGTGAGGTCCCGCATTATCCTGGTGTAACACTACACCCTTCCTGTTGATTAATTCGGGCCTCTTCTCTTTAAGTGAATCATTCAATTTGTCCAGTTGATGACAATAGACTTCTGAATTAATCGTTGTATTGTCCGGCAAAAGCTCAAAAAAAACGATTCCTTTGACATCCCACCAAACGGAGAGCATCACCTTTTTTGGTGAATGTTGGCTTTTGACACGCTTTGAGCCGGTTCATCTTTTCAGCTCCATGACCTCTTGCGTTTAAAATTGTTGTATACAACCCATTTTTCGTCCCCAGTAAAAAATGGATCATTTTCTTGACGTTTGAGGAGCGAATCACACACGTCAACGCGACGACACAAATTTCGCTCCGCAAGGACATGGGGCACCCACACATCGAGCTTTGAGGTTAAGCTCATGCATTCCAAATGGCCATAAACAGTCGAATTCGACAAATTTAATCTCTCACCGATCTCTCGTGTGGTTATTCGCCGATTTGCATCAACTAATGCCTTTATCGCATCTTTGTCAGCTTCGACCGGCCTTCCAGACCGTGGTGCATCTTCGACATGAAAATTACCGGATCGAAATTTTGCAAACCAGTTCTGGCACTGGCGTACTGTTAACACGCCTTCTCCATACACATCCGTCAATTTTTTTCTCGCTTGGACAGCATTTTTACCTTTTCTGAAGTAAAAAAGTAAAATATGACGAAAATGCTGCTTATTGCTCTCCATATTTAAAAGGGCACCAACCAAAAACTACTGCGTAGAATTAATAGAACTTTTTCACACACAAGCCTCGCAATATCAGCTCTCAAGACTTTCCGAACAACCTTATATAATGATTCTCGTTTCAACATAAGCAGCAATTCCATTTCTGCTTTGCACCTGGTTATTTATTTTATCTGAGATGACTGTTACTTGAAAAAAGGAACTACCAACACCCATATGTCACCACTTTATGTTCCTGTTGCTAAGTACCTTCAGCGTTCAAACTAGCCAGGCTGATGGCGCTTCTTAAACGTTAAGCTCGTTTGCATACGTTGACTTAGTCGTGAAACTAAAAGGTACGAAAAATACGAATTTTTTCAAACCGAAATCCAAAATCTTCCAATTCTATCCGAAAGAGTTCGCAACAACAACACAATCCTCCGAATAGACGAGAAATGCAGAGCAGAGTAAAAGTTTGGCGACGAAACTACGATTTTGCATTTTCGACGAAAAACTCGAATACCTTCCGGAACGGCACATCTGGCGCGACTCTAAGCGACTTTTCCGGCCCTCTGACCCTCCTCGATAAGGAAAAATGATGAATGAATCCGCCGAAGTGAACCATTAGTTGCCGTGGAAAAAAATGCCCGTTGTCTTTAAAAAACATAAAAGCGAAGCGTTTTGGTACTTTTTCCCTGCAACGGTTTTTGTTCTTACCGGGTAGAAACGGGATGACGTTGCACCGAAAAATGCGTCCCCATTAGCGTGATGAAAGGGGTGCGGGAGGTGTGGTGTGTTTTTTTGTCCCATAAAAATATTTATACGGGCGAAGATCCTTTGGAAATTTCGCGAACAACAACAAAAATGAAAGCACGGGAAATTGATTGCCGTCCATTGTCGCAGTTTAATGAACGGGTCGGGGGGTGGGGGGGCGTGGTCGCTTTAGTAATTAACGGTTTTTTGGTTACCGGAAAACAATGAAAGCACATAAAGTACATTTTTTTCAATTCCGACGAACTTTTTTATGAATCCTACTAGTAAAGATGGGGTAATCGCTACAGCTAAAGCTCTAAAGTCTAAGAACTCTGCGGGTTACGTTGGAATTTCTTCTAAATTCCTAAATCTAACACTAGAAGCTGTACCTGACGAGTTATTGCTTTGTTGACCACTTGAAACAGATGCAAGTCATTCTAAATTTCCAAGGTAACGAAAATAGGGAAATAGGTAGACTAGCTTCTTCAATGTCAGCTTTCCCACCTGACCAATAAATCAACCACCACTGCAATGAGAATGGGCTGAGGTTCCACAGGGATCAATTTTGGGACCCCTGCTTCTTTTGATTTACATTAGCGATATCCCTGAATGCTTCGAACATTCTAAAATAGGCTCTTTTCTGATAACGCCCTTTTCATCCTCCTTCTTCTAAAGAACTTGTATGACAAACCTTTATTCTTCCCAACCACGTAGTCTACAACTAAGCTGTTATTCAATCAGCGTCTGAATGTATTCTTTTGGTTACTATTAGTAGTGTCCCATTTTATAGCAATCCAGGGTTATACCTAGATACACTGGATACTGCTAAACCCACGTTTGGCAGCCCTGATGCATATGAAACAAAACAAATAAAACGCTGAGTGAGAATTGATTTTATTACAGGAGCGGTATAGAATTATAAAGTTGACAACTATAATTTTATTTTATATCCCAAATGTTTGTTTTTTTTTTAAGAAAGAGTATGTAAACAAGAAACATAATTTCTTTTAATCCTCGTTCCTCAAGAAATCAATCTTAAATGTATAATCTATCTTCTGGTCTCCATGGGTTTGAGGTGTTAGTAGAGAAACTATAGCGGTTCCAGGACCAACCAGAAGATATATTTCATTTGGCATATCTATTTTATGACAATAAATCTAACCTTAAGTTAATGACCACTTTTCGATTCATCAAATTTAGAGATTAGGCCATCCAAAAGGTAAATTAAAAAAAAAAAGTAAAATAGTAATGTATAGTTTTCATTCATTATATCTAAGCCATTAAATATTGTCTATAAAAATTATCTGCACGTGTATTCATAGCAACCGAAAACTTTCCATAATCAAAAGTTACAAAGATTTTTTTAAGATACATATTATCGAAAAACTCCACCTCCCAGACACCTACATTAGTTTTCGTCCATTTCCTTTAGCAAAGTATACAATAGCCTCCCATTCTATTATGTACCTCTCTGCAACTTCAGTGCTTCTTGGTTTCCTTTTTTTTAATTGTGCTATATATTGATAATCTTTTTAATTTGTCGTTCTTCATTTGTGTAAACTTCATGAATTAGAAATAATAAATATTCTATTCTAAGACAGATCCTCACATTTTATTCCAGATCCGTCTCGCCAACGTATGCAAACTTCTCTCAAAACACGTTTCCACCGTGTAGTTGATACGAGCACTAAAATTTCAGCGATGACAGCAGACAAACACGTCATAAAACATTCGCCGTCGACGGGATTTAAAAAGTTTATTAAATGAGTTGCGGGCTTGAATAAAACGCCCTGCTTCCAAACAGGCTTTCATAAGCGCCGCAGACACGAATACAGCTCGTTCGTATCTTTCCATTCGTCGTGACGCGTCGAGTAAAATATATTCGCTCCCCGCTACCCGCGAAACCGTACCGGCGAACTTTTAAAATTGCAATTAATAACACTCTAACGGCTGAAAGTTAAATCTGTGTTTTTTTATCGGGCGCAAAGTTGAATGGACAGTTTATTCGTTCATTTATTTATAAGACAGGCTACCTAACAAATATGCGTTATGGAATATACAATTGTACCATTCAATTGGTTGCAGCGTAATATTTTTATTAATTGCACAACTACAATACTAATAATGATATTAGGTGCACTTCAAATATTTGCAGGTCGAACAGTATTCAAAATCACTGCGCCACCAATATTAGCAAAAAACAAATGTGTGATGAAAATTCGAATTTCGTTATTAACTATAAAAACCACTATTATTGTAGTAGTATTGTTTTTCTTTCACCAAAATTTAACTGGCGATACGTACTTTCGTATATTACGTCAACAGGTGATTGGTGGAAGAACATAAACTAAGGTTTATGCATGATGTTCTGTATATTCTTCTGTGGTAACAAATGTGTACCAAATATCACCCCATTCGATAGAAACAGAAAGTTTATAGGAATCAATCATTTAATAATAATAATCGAAAGATAAATGAGCCTCTATTGTAAAGTTATCTCTGTTTTTCTCAAAATTAAATTCATTCAAGGGACCCAATGCTTATCCCTGTGAAACTTTAAAGTAGGGACTATTATAACCTTTCCTAAATCAGTTTAATGTAAAAAGCTTGCCGCCTTACCTTCATACATATTTATCGGCAATACCGATCGGAGAGAATATTATATAACAAACATTATGTAAATGTATGTAGGTATAGGTTTTCCGCCATTCATAACCAATTTATCGATACCGCGGAATATACGATACCCCATTATGCGCAAACTTGTGCAACTTGTTGCATAAATTCATAAATTTATAATACCGCGTCCCGACCGAATCTCTATATCATTTAATAGAAAAGTTAATTAACCTAACCAGACGTAACATAACATTGTAAAGAAATTGTTGTTTAGTTGCTTTTCTAGTTTCCACTTCTGTGTAACATTTGATCTCGCTACGATCATTTTGCGAAATTTCAAACCACTACGATCGCATTTAATTTTTCATTCCGAACCGACCTGATCGCCTGAAAATTTTGAAAGCACTCCGAATAACGAAACGAATTTTTGCTTAAGCTTTAAGAAATTTGATTATCGGCTCCAATTCGCTATTCGCGCTATCATTGGTCATGACATCAGCGCTTGTAGCTTGTAGCATATTTCACCATAATCCCAACAATGGCAATGCAAAAACCAAAAATAACAACCGAAAATTTGGCTACAATGTAGCACCTCGCGGTAGGTGTGCAAACAAGATCCAGCCTGATAACCCATTTCAGTTTCTCACATATTTTGATTTTTAGTATTCATTAGGATCTATAGTAACTACCTTGATATTGTTCAAACGATTGTTTTTGTTGCAGCTGACACTTCCTCCCAGTACGACGCAATCAGGGCGTACCTAAAGGAATTGGATATCAGGGATAAGGTGTGGATTGGGCTGTCCATGACTCGAGAAAAGCCTAACTTTACGTGGAGGTAGGTTTCTTTTAGTTTGGCACAATGAGGTTTTGATCAAGTTCTGTGAAAATTATTTATTTATTTATATTTAGAAACTAACCAAATAGTCGCTGAGTGCTAAGTGGGGTGAATAAGTTGGATGAGCAAGCAACTCCAACCATAATTCGTAAGTTTTGGCTGATGCAACTATTGCAGAATGTTCTAGTGCATTGCCATGGTAAAACATCATTTTTCATTTCGCCAAATGTCGTTTTTTTTATTTTTTTTGCTCAGTCGGTCCAATAATTATGCATAGTACTCGATATTGATAAATCCCCAAATTCTCACTTGAAAAGTTTTCCTGTTCAACTGTTGCTCCTTTTTAAACTAAAGCTTCTTTTTTCTAAGAGGCAGCCTAAATTGAGTCTCCGATGTCAAACTGACTCTTCCGGAAGCTCTAGGCATTTAACATGGTCTCTACATGCTCTTCGTTTGGTTTTGATCTATCTTACTATAGCCGGCACCTCACATATTTTTCTAATTTCATTGCTTCTTCTTCTGTCACTTTTATCCATCTGCCTCATCTTAACACCATGTTCTTCATGTACCAAAATACTATCTATAATACAGCCAAACAATTTTTACAGCAGCGATTTGAAGAATCAGTTCGAGTTATCAAAAAATGAGTTATTGACGAACACAGATTACTCACTATCCACAAATGGGTGATATACCTAGCTAGCACTATAGCATAATATTTCCAGACATATAAATGTTGCTTTATTGTGGCGACAGCCAAACTTACCTGCTTCTAGCGCCGAAGGATCCTTACTTTAGCTCATGCTATATACTTCCAACATATTCGTCGCCGACATATATTGTCTTACAGAAATTTAGCGAAAATTCATTTCGCTCCGTCGGCGTCAGATAGGATTTGTCGCCTTCGCTGGCAAATATTTGATTTACCTAATGTATGCATCTCGGAAGAACTTTCTCTGGAACAAGATAAAGCAATTTAACTCGTAATTGAATCCGCTACTTCGCCGAATTATCTTCCATTAGAATCTATTAAAGTGAACTTTTTAAAAATCCCCAGTTCTCGAGTGACAGCAGCGAAAAAAGGGAAAAAGGGTGGCGTAAAATTTCAATCGCCTTTGTGCGTTTCCTGTGCGTTCGGAGTTACCTGCGTGAAACGGCCAATTGCGTGTTTCCGAGTGTTCGTTTGGGGAGTGAATCCGAAATCAGACCGAAATGAAATTACGCGTAGTCGGCTTTGCTAAAAACCAGACGCGGTTGTAGATGGAAAATTTTTTGGTCCGGAATACGTCAAAGAAGAGAATTAGGCAAATTCGGAAAGACGCTTACCAAAAGGAAGCTTTTTTAATGTTCTGATACGTAAAGGTGCTTTCCAAAGCTAAAGAGTATTAAGAATAAAATTCTAGGTGGTGCTGGTAACGTCATAATGCGTGTTGGTATTGAACCTTCTTAGACTCTCTACTTAAACGTGGGATTTTTATATTTTTTATGATCGAGTAAAAAATGGTTTTGGAAATTATTATTACTTGATTGTGGATTCTCCTAAGACCAATGTTGTTGTTAAGTCTCACGTTTGCCTTGCAGGAGAAAAATAGATAATTATCGTCATCATCGCAGCAAAGACTGTAAAAAAGCCGAATTATTTTCATCCGGATAATTTAACTTTTTATTGTATATTTTTTCAATATAGTAACTTTGTGTGATTTCTCATATCATTCTATTCATGAAAAATTTTAGTTTATATACAGGGTGACTCAGTAACGAAGTATTTGGGATTTTTTTAATTTAAACCAGACCAGTTCGTCGTAATCGACTGTCAAGAAGAAATGCTGATTAGTTTTTTGGTTTAGTTGAGTAAACATAATTATTAATTAATAAATATGTGATAATAACAAATTAAATGAACAGTGGCAACATATTTTGTAATTTTGTGCGCTTTGAAGGTATTGTAAAAAAAGTATTAAAGATATTAGCTTTATTAACTATACAGGGTGACTTAAATTACATCAAAGTTGCGTATCGGTGAGTTCGATAATGCTCAGTTTTGAAATTCAAGCCATTGTTATGATTTAGAACTTTTTAGGCTTCCAGGCCAGGTCAAAAATCTATTACGACATTTCTTTTTTCTCAAATCATCGTCAACTTTATTTGTTCGTATGGTCGCCATATTGGATATTTGCAATGTTGAATAGCGTGTATTATTAGCTTTTGTTGTACTCCCACAAATTCGAAATATGGAACAAAAAATTCTATGCCACAGTAAGGTATGAATTTTCATATTAATATCTGGTGCATTACCGTGTCATTAAACATGGACTTTACCTATTAAGAAAAATGAGATATGGTAAAACTTTAATATAAAAATAGTTGAAACGGTGTCAAGATATCGGAAATGTATTTGAACATGTATCCTGACGAACGATTACGTCATCGAACTTTGTTTCAGTAATTGGATAGAAATTTTGCTAAGTTTGCATTGATATTTTCTCAGTACTTACAAAATTAAATTAATTATCTAAAAGATTTGAGCGCAACATTCTATATATTTGATGCAGAGTTGCACACACTGTATAAAATTTTTAAAAAATAGTAAATAAACAGAATGAAACCGAAAAAAAAACGTGGCACTCGAATGAAATTACTCAAGCAGAAAATAGAGACATTAAGTTATGTAAAGGGAATTTTTATTCTGTATACCTGAGTATGGCTCACAATTCTCAGTATCTAAATGGTGTAAAATTCAATATTATGACTCTATGACCATTGGAATCCCTGGGAAAACTTGGGAGGACTTTAATAGAAGACAGATTAAAAAACTTAGTAGTTCATATTTTGCTACGTCAATATTAAAAATTTCTCCAAATAAGGGGTATTTGGAGAAACTTTTAATGTATGGAGCCGAATATATAATAGCATAATATACAACTTACGACCCCTAGAGCCGGGCAGAAAGATTTTTTAGATATGAAATAATTTCCATTCTGACTGGTATTTAGCGACTTAAAGTATTAGTTATTAATATTTATATATGGGAGGGGGCGGTAGGCGGTCCACTTAAGCTTTTTTTCTGTTGCTTTTAACCATCAAGTCGATTTATTTTTGCCTAACTTTCTCCAATTTTTGGCTAAGCTTCTGGGGGTCGTGTCCCACTCTCCCCGATTTATGTTGTTAACAATTATAATTATTTATTAAAAAGTATTTAATAAAAAATAAACGTTACTGATTAGTAACCATTTTTCTATGGATTAAATTCATACAATTATCCAAAAAATAACACTTATAATAATAGTAATTGGGAATAGCTTTTTTTTGGAATTTTGAAGCCTCCCGTTTTACCCCTGGTATTACGCAAAGGGCTAAACCACAATTTATAATTATTAGAAGAAAAAACGAAAAATAAAATTTGGTTAATTTTTGAGGTGGACCTTCCCTACATAAAAATAAAGACAACTTACTCGATAAGAAATAGAAATCAGAATGGAGAAATAGAAAAAAAAAGAATAATTAGTAAGAGAAAAAAGAGAAATTCAAAAAATGTTTTAAATCGTTGCCGACATCAAATGTTTGCTGGTTATTTCACTTTTATTTCTTCGTTTTATTTAACGTTTTTGTGTTTATATTTTTTTAAAAGTTTAGATATGGTATGATGCTATTTTTCTTGGCGAAACTTTCCTTCGTTATAAATGTCGAATAAATGTCCCCTCTACTTTACTCTACGTCCCCTTTCTTGCAGAAATAGAGCAAGCAGCTGTTACCTATAACGAGAAATATTGTTCCTATTTGCCTTTTTTTTTTCCCAGTGGCCGTATCACCATCCAGGTAACATTTGAGAGGTATGCGCCGCTCAGCTACAGCCGGAGCGGGAGTGGGTAAATTCACGATTTAAGTACCAACTTCTAAAGAGTATTTTTTTTTATAGGGCGCCAGGTGATTTCTTTACTTATATACCCCTAAAACACTGACATCACCAAACCTAATTCGCACTGGTGACATTAGCTACGGTTATTACAAAAAAAAAGGAACAAAAACACTCCATGACATTCAGTTATTCGATTTAATGTCGAAATGGGGGGAAGAGTTATCCGCCGCACTGGGATCGGTATACAAGATCGCAATATGTAATTACATTAAACAACTTTACACGTTTTATTTTCCTACAGCGTAAATAATCTCTCGAGAGTATAGACGAGTATAAAAAGAGGGTAACCCCTTAACGACAGAAAAACTCTTCCTCTTTTCAACTCATCGTTCAGGTAATATCTTAGATGTACAAACAAAATTATAGAATTCGCAATAAAACTTAAGTTGGGCACTACACCAGTCCTTTTTGTCGAATCGCTTTATTTCCTTTACGTGTATGCGAAAATAAAAAAACAAATTCCACTACGTGGTACTTATCTGGAGTACGGACGTCGGTGTAGAACTCTCAGGTTAATTCCGAAGATTCCCGAAACTAAGGCGTTTGCTCTTCCCAATTTTCCGGATGTTCTAGGCGTACTATTATAATATCAACCAATACATGGCCTTTTCCGGATAAATAGCAACCTTCTGTTTCTCGTATCCGTCCGGGGCCACAAAAAGCAAATTGCCCAAAAAAAAAGAAAAAAAAACGCCTAAGAATGGAAAAGAAAAAAAAAATCAAGAAGTGATAGGAATTGATAAAGATTCTACAACTACAATTTTATTTTTTATTGGTTTTTAATTTCAATTAATTTATCTTATTTATCTCAAGAGTTTAAATTTTGAAAGTAAATCATTATGCTTTTACTGTAAAGGAAATTGACCTTTTTTTTTCCTTTATAAATGAGTTAAAATAAATTGTCCAAAAAAAAAAACGATCAGAACAACTACCGAGAACTACGCACACAATAAAAAGAGAACTTACCTCGTATCAGCACAAAAAACAAACCCAAAACACGAGACGCTTCTCTACAAAACCCAATATCTATTCAAGATAAGCTTTGGAACTTCTTAAAATAACCAGAGTACCACAAAAGTCGCCAAAGCGGGATGCAAAGTGAAAAATCCGTAAAACGCCAGAATAACTTTTCTGTTCACTAAGCAACCTAGAGCGATCACCGCGGTCACGGCTTATCGCGCTGCCATTTTTTCTGTCGGTGCGTCGTTCCTTTTTTTCCACGCTTTCGTATTTTGCCATCAACATGAGTTTACCGGGTGTCTCAAATTTCAAACGTAACACAACACAAATAAAACCATAATTAATAATAGAAATTTTTGTGCAGTTTAGCATTTTCAGTGTCATTTTCTAAATTATAATCGTAAAAAAGGAAAAAAAAAATGGTTAATTTTTGAGGTTAAGCTCCGAAGAAGCCAACAGGATGATTGGCGAAACGTCAGCGACTTCGCTTATAATGATATTTTTTGCCGGTTCTGAAATAAAACCGCGCTGAGGTTTTTGAAAAAAAAAAACAAAACGTCACGGGTTTCCAATCAATCCGGGAAACTGCGGAGTGTGTTTTCAGGACGCGCGATCGAAATGGACGCTTTTGTTAGCCCCGCGCGGGCAAAAACAGTTTTCGTTTTGTTTTCCTCGCGCAAACAAAGTTTACTTTCCCGAAAATGAAAACGGATATCCAAGTGCCCGCTTTTCGGCGTTTTATTCCCGATTACATCCGTTATATTCATTTTTTTTTTGCGTGGGTTAGCCGATAGCGACGTTTACGCAAGGCCGCGCCCAAAAATACATTTTAATAAAACCCGGATTTTAATTAAAAACGCACACTCCCGGAAAATCTAGCGAAAACAAAAACCATTCGGACATTTTTTCTAAAGCCGGGAATATCCAATTAAAGTCGAGAATATTCATTTCGGATTATTTCGCGGGAATTAAAAAATTTGTTAAAGCAAGCTTGTCCCGGAGCGGGCGTGTTCCGGATTTAAGAATTTGCTTGCCCGGATAAACGAAAAAAACGTCGCAGAAACTTCAAACATAATATACCGGATGTCCCGTTAAGATCAACGATATGAAAAATTAAAATTATTATTTTTATTATCGCAAATTGCACAAAAATTTCTATTCTAAAGGAATTTTGATTAATGCTGTTTCTGCAATTAAAAAGGACGTAGAGTGAAGTAGAGTGGACACTAATACCAATATTCCATATTTTTTCATATATCCCGCGCCCTGTATAATTGACGACACAGTTTACGATAGTGTTCAAATATCTGTAACGGTAAAACGCGGAAATTTTTAGGATCTTTTAGATTTTTTGCCCATAAACGAGACACCCTGTACATTATTCAAACAACGCTCGAAGTTGAGGTTATAGCCCTGGATCTTCCACGTTTCCTGGTCCAAGAATTTTTTGAAAATGGTAAATGGTAATTTCATCGATTTTTCGACAGTAACAAAGGAAAATTTTGGCAGTAAAAATAGCATTATATCTAAACTTTAAAACATATATATAAAAAAATTTAAAACATTTTTTGAATTTCTCTTTGTCTAATTATGAGGTGATTTTTAAAGCCCTAGTTATTAAATTCTTTTCGTGTAAGTTATTTCTGTTTCTTATCGAGTAAGTTGTCTTTATTTTCATGTAGGAAAGGGCGGGGCAAGCCGGCCCCCCAAGGAGGCCCACCTCAAAAATTAACCAGATTTTGTTTTTCGTTTTTTCTCCTAATAACCATAAATTCTGGTTATTTGTACAATTCCAGCCCTTTGCATAATACCAGGGGTAAATCTTATACATACCAATAACAAATTTTAAATTAAATATACTTAAAAATACTTTTTAATAAATAATTATAATTATTATATATAATACTATAAATAGGGCAGAGTGGGGCACGACGGCCAGAAGCTTAACCAAAATTTGAGTAAATTCAATTAAACTTAAACTTAAAACTTAAACAATATGCACATGTGTCCTAAACGTCTCAACTTTTGAAAAAATCTTAAAAAATAATATTAATAACAGCATGCAGATAATTACTGGTATTGGTGAAAAGTAATAACCTCAGTCGCGGTTAGGATTCATAGATTTCTATAGACCCCCGGATTTAGAAGAATTGATTACATGCAAGAATTTTAGTTTTGTCGAATAAAATTTTATGTCCGGTGTCGTCATTGTGTCTCAAGGTTTTTCATGTTTTTTGCGACTAGATATTTTACGTCCGGTCTGTCTAATGTACTCTTTGCCGCATATGCCTGGAATGCTCTAAACTCCTTTGACGAAGATGTTGAGAGATTTTTTTATACTTCTTTTGAACTTTTGACACGTGGCATATGTGGGATTGCTTTCGGCTTCGTTGCTATTGGAAGATTGTGGTGGAGCGCTAAACAAACAAAAGTTTAGTTAAAGAATTAGTATAATTATGTTGTTAAATCCATTTAGGTACAAAAGTGAAATTAAAACTTGAACAATTACTTAAAGATTTCTAATATAGGAGAACATTTTTAAAATCATTTATTAACACAGAAAGTGACATAAAGAGTACATTTACAATATAACAAGCGAATATATAATTCTTTTATCGTGAAGTCAGCGGGGTGTTATCGTCACTTAGTTACGGGCTTCGTCTGCTATTCTGGGTGTATAACTAATTACAACTTTTTTTATTTTTAGCCTGAGTATCATAAATTTTTAAGGAAACTATAGAGAACGTTCTCATTTAAGTCATTCAATGCATGCATCAACTTTGACGAATACAAAAAAAACGTGAGAAATCCGATTCTTTTGAAATTTTGCACTTTCGTGGTTTACTGAAAGAGACACTTTTTCTAATATTTGTTTAATTTCTAAAAATGGGACATATTTTATCAAAAACATACAAAACATCTAGAGCTGAATGAAAAATGTAAAAATTTAAACGGGTCCGTTGAAATTAGACAATTAATAGAACCATTTTATAAAAAAAATATTTTTTTTTATTTTTAATTGGTTTTGCTTACTATATTTCTTTAGATTTTTTTCAATTAAATTAATACTAGAAAAAAAACTACTAATTTAGGGGGCATAATACTGTCAAATATTAGTTACTCAATTCGCATGAAGCAGTAACATTAGTTTTAAAAAATGAAAAAAATGAGCTAACAAGTTTTACATTTAAAATTTTCATATTAGTTTCTGATCACCCTAGCTTTATTTATCTTATCTCGTATAAGGAGATCGTAACCAAATTTATTAAAATTTATAAAAGCTTTCAATACAATTACAATTACAAAACAAAATATTTGCTACAAGTCGCGAAAATATAAAAATGCCGTATATTTAACAATATAGATATAAACAAACCCAAACAACTTTTGTCTGTAAGTTTTTTTTATATTTTTTACAGGTTCTGATGTAAAGTTCAGCAATGGCCAACCAATCGGAGATTAACCTTTTCTTCTTTTCGTGCGAGATACTTTATCCGCGATTTTAGTTTTCTAAACTGCCATAACGGCGCTGTTATCACTCTGTCGCGCTCCGCAACAAACCGAACCGCTGATCAGCTGCCCTCTCAAATCTCATAAAATTCGTATCCTCTCCTAACAAAAGGTTTCGACGCATGTGAGGTTATGTTCTAGACATATCACTTCGACAACGTATTGCGAGTGCGAACTTTCCAAGAATTCCAAGCGAGTCGGCCATTCGTATGGAAAATAATTTCTGTTTTCAGCGACTATCGACCACTGACGGGAGAAGGACACTGGCAAGAGGCTCTGCCCGCCGGAGGACAAGGAGACTCCCTTTGCGCCATCATGGACCCGGCGGCGGACTTTCTGTGGCGACCTTTGCCCTGCGGGGGGCCCGAGATAGCGGCCTTTATCTGCGAATTGGAGAGTAAGTCTCGTCAAACGGGTTTGGCTTGCTCACCGAACTGTAAACGCGGCTGGGTTTATGCGATCAGACACCAAAGTCAAGACGCAAAGAGGGGAATTTTATTTTGTGAGGTCAAGTCTCACGTTTCGAGGTAATGAGGTTAACTTCACCTTTGATCGTCGCGTATTATTAATTACAATTACAATTAAGCGGGTATTTGAATGAGATAGGAAGCGAAAATGAGGGAAATGGAAAACTTCACTCAACTCGATAATGAAATCTTTACAAAGTTATTGGAAAAAATTTGAATAAATTGCTCAATTCGTGAAAACGGATGAAGGACTACATAAACATTAATCAATTGCTTTCTTGTTAATGTTTTCTTGAAATTTGTCTAAAATCGTCACAATTTAGATTTTAGTCTACTTTTGCATTTACATCACATTTTTGCTTCCATTTGTCACGACAACATTCAAAAATTTTATTTACGCAGATAATAAAGCAAAGCGGTCGTGGTGTCTCTTTTTTGACTTAATTTTGTTGTGATTATCATTGGCTGTTATTCAGATAAGAACCTATCCTACTGCAGGCAGGTTTCATCCAAAAGTATGTTATGGTTTACTTAATTGCTATGCAACCGATCAAACAACATACTTTATAGAGTTCTAGTAAAATATGTATTTTTAAAGGCAACATCTCCGTTAGATTGGAACGTTAATTTGGGGACGTCCACGCTAATGATATAAGACCCTCGAGTTCCCCAACATTCCTTGTGATTCCATGCGAAGAATCTTTTCCCCAGAGTGTTATATTCATACGTGGTTTTAAAATAAAATTTAAAGTTTTTCTCTCAGACGTACCAACCTTTCCCCTCTTATGGCAGAGATCTTTACAGCTTCTTTAGAAAAGGTGATATCACAATTCATACTAGTTTCAGTCATCGTCATCATTCCATTATTATTCATACCTTTTCTTCATACCCTTAAATGCAGAGAATTTTAGCAGTGAACATTAATAATGGCTTCTCCATGCACTCGATCAACAGTTACCAAAATTTATGCCAGCAGCCCTTTCTTAGGCAACAACATACCGCACAAAATCGAGAAGTGCAACCAGAGCTGGAGAAAAACCTCAGTCTTCTGGGGCAGGGAGATGCATGCAACATCTCCCTGCAAGCATGGTGCGAAAATAAAAATAACAATAATAAATAGTTCAAAATGGTCAAATATAACATTGAAGACTTGCGAGCTACCATCACATCAGACAATAGGATGACTACGTGGATACGTGCTGCAAATCGATGCTGTTTTGATTTTAGGACCAATTACGACATATGCGTGCAAGAATTGCAGAGAAGACACCAATGAAATACAACAATACGGTACAGTACTAATTAGACTAGTGTGGAAAGAGATGCCGGATGGGAAGAAACGCCGGGTCGTAAAGCTACAGAGAGAGAAAGGGAGCAGTACATGTTCCTAACACCTAATACCGGGAAAAGAAATTTCCCACTACATTGGGAGTAGTTCCCGTCGCAGACTTCCTGGCACCAATCGGGTTCGTCCGGGAAGTTGGAAACTTTACAGAAGCTGCGTCCGACATATAGGACGACTGCAAGACTAATTGGATAACCCTGTTTATGCGATTTAATTAGCGAACCTAGTCGAGAGGTTAATTCATGCCAGTTAGTTATTGGAACGCGACACTAGATCCGTTATAAAGTTCTTTGTTTGCGCTAGGGCCGGCCCGCTATGGCTTTAATTAAAACTTATGATTAATTATTTAAATTATTAAAAGCCGGGTCGGTTATAGTGAATAATTACGCGTCGAGCGACTTATTACTTGTAATTACCGGTCGGAATTTGTTCAGACACACTTGAAAATATTTTACTTTAAATGAGGGGCGGTTAGTCGCCATTTTTTTTGCCGGCACAACGAAATAAATGAAATTTATGGCGGCCTGGAAAATTTTGTAACAAAATCGCCCGAGAAAGCTGGAGATTAAGCCGGTGTTTTTCTTTTACCGGGCTATCCGAACTTGTAAAGCGCTTTTAACGCTTTTAACCCCTTTGTTAGGCGAGAATTACGACGCTTTGTGTGTACCAGACGAGAAACGGGGTTGAAACCTAATACCCTCGTTGGAGAAACGCTGGAGGGTGCACCGATAATCATATCGCTTTGTAGAAAAAATCCGGCGGGAAACAATACGAAAGTTGATTTTAATCACTTAACTTCGTCGCTTGAAAAAAATTCATGTTTGTTAAGACGTCGAAGTTCCCTTCGAAATTAAAAGACTACATTTTCAAGTTACTAATTGAAACCAATATTGATATGTCATTTTGCGATGATCTTTTTTTTTATTTCGTAAAAATTTGCGAAATTACGCTCTTTTTTTTCTGCAAAAAAAGTGCACTCGCAAACTTTTTACACTTTTTATAATTTTTGGAATTTTTTAAATTTCCTTAAAAAAAGTCGTGACTTTTGTATTCTCGATATTTTCTTCACAAAATTGCCTTTCGTACCAAACTTCTTTAAAAATGTACGTTTTTGTTTCTCTACGCAAGAATGTGTGAATTCGCAAACCTTTTACATTTTTTAATTTTTTTTTTCAATTACGTAGGAAAAGTGAAAACTTTAGGTAGATCTATTTTTTTTTGCAAAATTTCGTAAAAAGTTTGCGAATTTTCGCTTTCTTGCAAGTCTTTTGCACAAAAAATATGCGTTCGAGAACTTTAACGTAATTCACACTTTTTTATTATTTTTGTCTTTACATTTCGTAAGAAAAGTGTGAATTGTTTATCCTCGGTATTTTTTTTTCACAAGGTTGCCTGAAAAGTTTCTTTAACAAAATTTCGTTAAAAGATGGGAAATTTTTTTTTCTTTTATAAAATTTCTTTAAAAGTTTGAAAGTTTACACATCACACCAAATGTACACGTTTCGTATCAAATTTATTTACAAATGTTTCTGCTTTTCTTTACAAAAAAGTGTGAACTCACCCATTTTTTAAAAAATAATAATTTTTTCAATTTCTTAAAAAAAGTCGTAATTTTAGGTTAGGTCTATGTTTTTGTCCAAAATTGCCTGAAAAGTTTATGAATTTTATTTTTTTTTTACGAAATTTCCGACAAAATTATTACCAAATTCACACATTTAATAAAAATAATGTAAATTAACTAAATTGTTACCGAATTCACACATTTCATACCGATTTTCTTTAAAAACATTGCAAATTCACAAAATTTTTCCGTATTTCGCCCTTTTTTACAAAATTTCTTTAAATATTTGTAAATTTATTCTTTTTTTGTACGTAATTTCATAAGAAAAGTATAAATTTTAGGTCGTCGATATTTTTTTCACAAAACTGTCAAAAATATTTTTTTTTTCGAAATTTCCTAAGCAATTATTGGAATATTCATTTTTTACAAAATTTTGTCCAAACTTTGTAAATTCACACTTTACACCAAAAATTTACAAACATCTTTAAAAAATTATAAATTAACAAACTGTTTACCACACCAAAACGCCCTAAAATAATATAAGTTTACTTTTTCTGAAGAATTATCAGAACATGCCAGTCAAAGCCCCTATAAATACTATTTAAAACTAAATTAAGTTAGGTTCATTTGGAATATTTTTGAAAAAAAACGTTTTTTTCTCTTTTGCAGTAGAGGTTACGCCACCTAACGGCCATTTTAAGAACTTGAAAGTAATTTACAGCTTTTTCTCTTGGCTGATTTACCTATAAATATATATTTTTTTTTAATTGTAGGACTAACGGTTCCTGTACACAAATCCTTGTATTTTAGTTATCCAAAAGTGGACCTCGGAAACCGGTCCACCATTTCTGTTTACCCGCCTGGAGTGTCCGGCAGTTTTATTGTTTACCCCCGAAACGACCTCCGGTTCCGCTTCCCGCGCCATTTTTTCATCTCTGACGCATGCGACGCCACTTAAATACAGCGGCGCGACGATCTTTTTTGTGCCCCCGAACTTATACGCTTATATCTCGACCACCGGCGTATATTATTACTTTACTTAGCGGCGAAATTTATGTCTAACCGTAGTTCCTACGTGGGCGGTGGGACCCAAGGGATGTTTACTCACCGAACTACCATCGCTGACTGCGCTCTACATCCCCGAACAAACCGCAGTAGAATTAACGTCCGACTGCGGCCTGGACGGCACCAAAAGAATCGCCTGCAAAGGGAACGCGGTGAGTGGTTTATCCCGTCCCGATCCCGAGTATTCCCTTTTTATTCCTCCCGTTCCGCGATTTATTTATAGAGTGCAGATTTATGTGCGCAGGGGGACGAAGGGGGAGGCCGCGCGAGTTTAATTTATGTCCGAATTGCGGAATTTGGACCATCTGAGACCCCACCCCGTCGGAACGTTAATACGGTTTATACTGTTACAGTTGTTTACGGCCATTTTGCCAGAGGATTTTGTTTAGTTTTAGCATCACGCGGATACATAAAAGCAAAGCCTGTCTAAATCGAAAGTTACTGTGCTTAATAAGCTGTCATTAGTAATAAATTCCAGCTTAAAGTGGTAAATAAGGCTTCCATTTCTTTGCCTATTCTATCCATAACCAGAAGAAGCTTTTTATTTTAAAAAGAAAGAGCTTCGCCGTTTCTTGTGGTAAAGAACGCAACGTTTTCCTATCGTGCTCCGGCGGACCACTATGGAATTTCGCAAAATCGATTTAATTTTATTTATTGTGTATACTGTGTTTTTAATCCTCGCCCAACTTCAACTACATACCCTGTATATGATTCAAACAATGTTCGAAATAGATTTTATAGCCCTGAATCTCCCACGTTTCCTCGTATATGATTTTTTCCAATAGATAATGAAAATACATGTTTTTTGAAACCAGGCAGTACGTGGTAATAGTAAATGACGTCATCGCGTCTGCGAGAATCAGCGATTTTCATATGAACCGTAAATACAAAAATTGTTACTCTTGATACGGCCTATAACACTGTTTGATCCGATTGGCAATATGTTTTAATTTAATTTATTCCAAAAAAGTACAACTTTCACGGTCTTTTAGATTTTTGTCCACAATTAAAAACAACAGCATCATAGGAGATTGTCGAGAACACTAAAAAGTAGTAAACTTTTACTGGTGCCTTCGCAGTCAAAAAGTTCTTTAAAGAACATAACACAAGGAAGTTCTTGTTGAGTTTTAAACAAACAGAGTCAATATGCCGGCACCGAGAGATAAAAAAATGTTTGATCCTTGAAATTTCCAGGCAAACTGTCCTATTGCAGTGGATAATGATATTATTTAGCTTAGCACCATTCAGTTAATTCAGAAAGCATTGTTTGTATGTTATCGAGAAGGGGTAGACGACATTTCTTGTTTCGACATTGTTATATCGTCGCAATAGTGATAAATTAAGGTATAAAAGACAAGAAAATTAGGGGTGCTGAGAAACTACCCTGGGGAGCGCCTCGTTCCAGATTTTCGAAATGACAATACATTTAAAAATATATTTTTTGTATATTTTATGCTGCCGACGTAAGAACTGCGACATCGTAAACTTTTTCCACACTAAAAACACTGTAATTGATCAGTAAGAGTTTTTATAGTCAAGGCCGCGCTCGATTAACGACGTTGTCACGGGAAACGCGACAAAACTCGGTCGGTATAGAAATTCCACGCGTTACCGGCCACGCAATCACACGCCAAATTTATCAGAGCTAATGGCGTATCGCGCGGACACTCGTCCGTCAATAGACCGCAATCGCGGAAACTCTATATTAACGTAATGCCTAGTTTGAAACGTTTCCGCTTGTCCCGAAATAGACTACTCTTTATCGGGTTTGGTATACGCCGACCCGCACCGTCCATATCGAGATCGTAAAAGATTTATCGAACGGTAACGATACGCCTATTGTGTGTTGTGCGGCACTGTCATTAGGTGATGGAAATATCAGATTTAGTTGGAAGTTTCCCCACGAGAGGCTCCAGCTAATGTTCGAACCTTGAGAACTCCGTTCTCCTAGGCACTTGCTCTGTCCGTGTCTCTCGTATTTGTTTTCTCATTAAAGTGACATGAATGGAGCAACTCGTCAAAAGGGATTTGTCGCGAAAAGCAAATACGACATCGAAAGCATAGAAAAGCTAATCTTTTTATCCGGTCAAGGAAAGCATCATTTATCTCTTCGGGACTCGATAACTACCGGGAAATATCAGTCAACGGTACTATAAGTAACGAATACAAAAGAAATATGAAAAATCTACATTAAGAGGAATACACCAGTTATCACATTCACATTAGAAGAAAAACAAAAACAGATTACCTAATTTTTCCTGCCTTGGGTATTGGATCTGTCTTGCTGACGTTTCGCCAAACATGCTATGTGGTTCGTTCATTAATATGGCAAGGGATTTAATTGCTGATGATATTCAGTAGTCTTGCTCGCCATTACTGTAGATTTTTTCGTTTTCATTTGTACTTTCTTCTTCTTTCTAAATCAAGTCTTCAGATGGTTTTCGATAACTGTTATCGAAGCGACGTTGACATTTTCGAATATGAAGGTGTAAGCGTGACCAAAGCACCCGATGATCTGGTGTGAATGGACAGCGAACACAGGTCAACTTGGATTCAAATTTAAGATGTTGCCATTTACACACCGGTATTTATTAAACATACCCCTCCACAAAACTTTATGTATATATATTGCGTAAGGTTTAAGAATGTCTGTTATTTTCTAATTCGATTGTGAAATTGATCTTTCGGTCTGTTTAGTTTGGGTAACTTCGAATTGACTTAAGAGATCCCTGGCGGTGTTGCCAGATAATGACAGTGGAAAGTTTAATTTACAATGTGAACTTGACGGTATTACCTGACCGTCGCACGCATAAAATAACCCTCGAGCATCGACGTTTAAACACGAAATGTTTACCTCCATTTAATATTTATTTCCAATGGCGTCGGTCACGCGAGGCGTCTATTTCTCAAACGTCCGTAAAACTGTCCGTTATGTCTATATTTAAACTCTCACGGTGGTTCGACTACCGTACCTTTATTGCTTTTAATGCCGGGTCATGCTAAGCACCACGATAACGCGAGATCGTAACCTAACCTAAAAAAAAACTTCCAAGAAAGTGTCGTTATAGATAGCATGAGTTTCTCTTTTTACAGATCGTGGTTCGAAAGGTCCCGCGTAACTCTGCCCTGATACGGATAAAAATCGTGGTAAACCCCAGATCACAAGGAACCATCTAAGAAAATCTTTATAAATTGTCGGCAAAGAGACGCGCGCCGCTGGTTTTAATCTGCCGCCGCCGAGGTAAAAGCATTAGTCACTTCGGGGCCATTGTTTATCGGGGGGTCAGCTTTCTGAGTATCAATCTTCCGCTGGCCCGGTGGAATTCCGATAGATAAGTGCGGGCCGTGTAATTCGAGCCTTTTTCGCTGCGGAAAAATTGATACGGATTATTTATCGCGAACGATTTTTCTCCGAACTTAAACGGCGATCACTTTCGGTCGATTTTTTCCGTTCGTGTTTGATTCGTAATCACGTAATTTTATTTTACAAATAGTTAAACTCTTTTCTTCTCATCTTGTTTTCCTACTCTATCGAAGCACTATTTAACTAATCGATACAGTACTTTGAAACTGAAAAATGTGCATCTGCAAAAATAGTCATTCCACGAGCCGAAGCAAGGTCCAATATTGATCCACTCGTTTATAGCATATACATGTCTTCTTTTCTATTCAGAGGATTATTAAGAAAATGTAATTAAAATAAATAGGGATCCCCAAAATGTAGTGGAATTCGTATCAACATAAATTCAAGATTCAAATTTCATGTTAGCAGATTCATATAGAGGCTTTGTAATGCCAATATATAGTTCCGTCGCTCCCTATCTGGGATAATCCATGTTAAGAAAATTTTTAACTTGCACAACATTGTGAGGAGGGGCACCGTCTTGCTTCCATATATTCAGCGCTGATATATTTAGGGATAAGTCTTCTATATATTGTTCTATTTGGCCCTCTAAGAGTTGCAAATGATGATCTCCAGTTAACTTTTGATCTGTAAATGTAGGACCCAAAATATGCCATTCTATGACTCCGGACTCTACACCATATATTAATTTATTGATACCCCCGGGTTTTTATTTCGTGTACTTGTCTAGGGTTATTTAAAGACCAATATCCTGTATTTTGTCTAACTAACTAACCAAACAAAACTGCGTCCCCCGTTGCAATTTGCACTGAGTTTTTGAATTTTACGAAAAAACTGAGTGGATTGATCGCTGAGAAATACCTGTCTCCTCATATACTCTAGTAATAGAGGAACGGGGCCTAATACACTTTTTTTTTGTTTACCTAACCTATTCTTCCATGATTTTCTGGAACTAGCCGTCCTGTCGCCACCATAGATAGCGTTCGGGTAGTTCGATCTCGTTGATGCAACCTCGATTCTCTGGCACGGGCCATACGGCTACCGCCACAGATAGAGTTCAATTGTTCGCTCTACTGGTGGCGTACCGTCGACCAGGTTGGCAAGAGTGACGTTTTTCCTCAATTTTTGTGTGCTCGTTTAGCCTTTCTAATAAAACTGGTAGTTTAATCGTCCGGCATTTTGTACAGTCGCTAGTAAAGCTTGGCGGGTTTTAGCAGGCTTTCTTTTGGGTGACCTATTTATTTTTTGAGTCGGTAGTGCTACCGCAATAAGAGGGGTCACTAATTTGTGATTTCCCATATCCCATATCAGAGCCCGGGGTAACGTTCTGGAGAGCTTCAGGTTTGGATAGCTTAAGTACTGCGCCCTCCCATAAATGGCCTGTTCTCTTTAAGAACTGCATGCGGAACTTATATTCTTAATTTAAAGATATAGATTAGATATAGATAGATATAGGTTTAAAGATAAGATTTGACGCAATCACACCTGCCTCCAGGTAGATGCTTTTATGTACCTTTTTACTCGGTTTACACTATTTAATGTGGTAACCCTTGGCCAAGCAGGAATTTGGAGGAAATAAATTATTGTTCGTGATTCATTTGTTTATTTCCTTTTCAGGTTGAAACCTTCTGTTAATAAGATTACTTTTTTTGAATCACATGGCGGCTACCTACCACCTTCCGGGATCGACCGAGGTGCCCTCCACCGCCTTCCAACTTGGGCTTCTATTTAGTAATGTTTTACCATATTAATTTTTCTTGTTAGTTAGTGAGGTAGCGTGGGCATTATCTTGCCTCACTAATAAATTTCAAATTTCATTAATTAACGCTTATCGTTTTGACGATCCTTATTCATTTAATTTTATTTCCTTTGATGACGTTGCAAAATCGCTTTCCCGGCGAGAAAAACGACGTAAATTTGTAGTTCCCGATGCGCCGGTAAAACTCCACGCAACAAATTTATTCGCATCGGCAAACCAAAGACGGAATTCTGAGGTCGGATCTGTGTTCGTAGATCGCGTTCCTATTCGGACGCTTTCGCGCGAGACCTTAGACAAATACAAACGAATCGAATTTGGAGTATTTTCGCATGACGGTATTTTAAAGGGACCCCGGTTACGGAATGAAAATAAAGGGGAACGGGACTATTCGTTTGCGTTCGTCAGTAGATAAGGTCGGTGGGTTCTGCACCACGTGCCTTGTCACAGAATCCGAGCAGCTTAACTACTAAATCTAAATCCAAAAAAATCTGTAGCAATGCGGACGTTGATCGATTATCTCAACTAGTTGAAATAAAAATATCGAATGTGCGCATTCCTCTGAAAACGGAGGTAAATAACCTTGGGGTTATGCTCGACAATAAGCTAAGATTTAATAGTCACATTACCCAATGTATTAAAAAATCCATTGCTCACTTAAAATGCTTATATGGTTCTAAAAATATTTGAAATCAATCATTAAAAAAAGTCCTGTGTTATTCGATAGTTTTATCTTCTTTTAACCGCTGTGATGCCGTCTATGGTCCATGTCTGACAGCGGCTGCCTCAAAAAAATCACTGTTTAGCATGGAGTCCCTTAGGGTACTCGGACTGTAGCCAATAATTCTATATACTATCAGTCTTTACTGGCGAGAACCCCTTTTTTTAATTTGATATCATAATTCCCGCAGTGCTGACCTCTTTATACCAATATGATGGTCACATCACCACCGATGATGATAACATGCAAAAAAAATGTGTTTATCAGAATTTTTTTGTTTCCGACATTTCGAAAAAAAATTTTAGACAAATAATTTAATTGCGTGCTGCCAAACAGTTAACATTTATAATAACACTTCTCTCTTTCTCTCTTTAAACACAGCCAAGGAGCAAGACAAGATTATTTCTTTTATCTGTGTTGTCTTGTCTTTTCTTAGGTCCTGAATATCTTGTATTGGGGCAGTGTTGACTAACTAGTTTAGTTGACCATCATTGAATTAAAACTTATTATTGAACAGTGATTAGATAATGAAGTTTTGATTAAATTAGTCGTATTTTGCACTGAGCAATGTCAAATACAGCACTAATAAGATAAGATTTTTTTGTTTCTTTATGTATCGCTTTAGATTTTATTTTTTTATTTAGAAAGTATTATCAAAAAGTTGCAGAAGACAAAAGTTCCTAGATAAAAAATGAAATTACATGGAATGATAGAGGTGGTCTGATTTTTATGACAGTACAACCCAGCGTGAAAACAAAATGGCCAGGCCACATTTGAAGCGGACTAATTTAACAATCCATCATCATTACGTCATCGTAATAGTAAAAGATGGCAAGCACGACTCGATACACCGGAATGGTGGATGTTGGATAATATCGCGTGGCCCGGACCTCTAATTAGACCTTCCTCCGGGCCTGTTATTAATGACATAACGATTGTTGCAAAACTAAAACGATTTATAACGTGCGACGGTTCGCGAAGAAGCTGGGCGAACTTTATTGTGGCTAGTTAACGCGAATTAAACTCCCGCCGAATCGCGACTCTTGTCTTGCGGTTGCCGCAGCAGTTCGAAAGCAAATGGCTAAATGAACAAATAAAAAAAAGATAAATAAAAAAGAATCCGTTATTATACACTTGCAGATATTTTGCAGATATTATATAAATTAACTTTTTCACCATTATTTTAAGTGAAACAGCCTGTATATTTGCCTCGTTTTATATGCCAGAAAATACAAGCGGGAAATGTTCTTTATCTTTTTTTGATAGCTAATAATTTTGGAGATAATAGCGTTAACAAATATCAATGTGTCATTTAGAGAAAAAAAGTATATTTTAACCGAAATGAAAAAGAATCATACTTTCGTGTTTACCGGAAGTACAGGGTGATTCAACGATGGAATAAAGCATAACTAATAAAATAACAAACAATTTTTTAATGAAACGCCCAATGTTTGAATTTTGTTTTGAATTCGTTTTGTAATAATATTATATATATACGTAAAAACCTAAAAGATTACTGCTATAGGGTGTTCAAAACAAACGAATATATTTGTATATATATTGTTTTCTATAAAATTTATTTTATTTCTTATTCACATCGACCTAAGAAAAATAGAAGAAGAAGACATATACTGGGTGTTTCATTTAAAATAAGAAAATTGATCTCGCTTCCGGCAAAACCTCAGGTGCTATTTAATTGTTTTGTACGTCAAAGTGTAGCCATGATTTTATTTAGAGAAAAAAAGTGCTGTAAATTCCCGGTGTTTCGTTTAGTTTCTTAAGTTTCTATTTAAAGTAAAAAAGTGTTGCGGGTTAAGGAAAAAACGAGAAATGTGGCATCGCCGCCTATGTCGTCATCGAATCTATATATCATTTGCAGGACCGCGAGGAACTTCTAAAGCAACTGGCGTGCGTGATTCCGAACGAGGACTTCGAGGATAAATCGACGAGGTCGTCGGCACCATCGTCGAGCGTCGCAGATGATTACGAGACCACTACCGTCGTCGACGGGAATTCATTAAACGACAAAACGACGAAAAGTTGGATTTGGACGTCCAACACCGTCGACGTTGATTACGGAATGCCGACGAGGCACAGGCGAGAGACCGAGGACACTTTGAGCCCCGTTTCGACGAGGAGTTCCTTTAATCAGGTAAGAGACTTAAAATGATTTTTTTTTCTCAAAAAAGTCTTTGTCCTGGGTTATGCATTATATTTTGATACCCACCTACAGGATTAGTTTCGAAAGAAAGTTTTATCAAAAACAAACGCAAGCCGTCAAAATGACAGCAAAATAATTTTTTTAAGTGGAATACCCTATAGGTATATTATTAGGTTAAATCGTAGATCTCTTTATAGTTTATTGACAGATAATAAAAATTGTAATTTTTCACGTTATTTTATGTATGTGTAAATACCTTAAATCAAGCAATCTCATTATGTAATATATAATATTTTGACACTAACGGGATGAAACGGAGTTTTCAATGGTCCGACTTTGGAAAACGAATCAAGTCTGAGTGAAAACAGGCCCGCCGAGTTAATAAAATAGAGCCGATCGAAACAACTAGAGCGAGAAGCAACCTCCGATTTAAGCTCGCACTCGCAATTAGCGCAGCGCGTTACGTATCAATTCGTACTTTTTCACTAAATTGCGAATTTGTCCCGGGAATTATTAGAATTCGATCTGGTATCCAATTTTTACGAAATATTCGCTAATATTTTCCTTAGAAATGTGCCGTTAAAGTTTTTAAATTAAAAACTTCAAAAAAGCAACGTCGTAACGTTGTTGTAAAGACAATGTGGTAAAAAATAACTTGAGAAAATGCTGGAAACGGTTTTCAAATTTTTGGAACAGCCGCTAGGGGGCGTAGTCGCATTCTTAAACTGTAACTCCCGTTTCTTGAGAAATTATCTTGTTTCATGTCTTCGAGAAATAATATATTATACTTTTTCTATGACCGTTCGAAAATCGTACTCAATTCTGACGGTCTCACTCGTTTATTAAACACTCGCTCCGCTCGTGAGTCAAATGCCGTTTATAGCACTTGTTGCATAATGTACTATTATTTGACTTTTACTTTTGATCATTAACTCCTTTATTTAAAGAAAAAAACCGTAATTGGAAGAAAAATCATCCAAAGATAGAGCTTTGAAGAAGATTAAATTTTTAAGATCGTAACCTTCAATTTTGTTTTGGTTCTATTGATAAGACATGGATATTTGAAAATTGGTCTTTGCAAGATATTAATATAAAAACTTTAAAAACTGCTAAAGTTAATTTATAAATGTCATTTCACTTACCGACTAGTCTACTAGATTTTAATTGTAGGTTATAGCACGTAGAATTTAAATTGTCTGATATATTGCATAAAATGTTTCTGTGTTTTGGAACATTTTTGCAAAACATCACCAACACATTCACTGACATGACCGTCAGAATTGACAAATGTCAAAATTCAAACCGTACGGTAAAAGCTTCGAAAGCATCCGAAAATCCCGAAGAGAGAAGAAGAGAGTTTGACACAAGGCGTATAGCCATTCTGAAGTTATTGACATTTATTTCCGAAAGTGTTTGTTCACCACCACCACCCCCCCTCTCTAAATTAACACGGAGCATGTTAAGGAAGAGAACATGGAGCAACGTATCTTAAATGTAGAATCTGTTGAAGAACCAATGGTGCCGACAATAGGTCAAAGGGGTAATCCTGGTTTGTGATTCATTGGGAGTCCGTGGAGACGAGGAATTTTAGAAGAAAAAGTCAACAGCCAACAACCGACGCAGTAGGAATGCAGAAGTTTTGTTTTAAAATATTATCTATCTATTTAAACTTTTGGGAAAACTTGTACATCATGAAAGTAATCTCAAAAAGTGACTATAATAGGGAGTCACGTATTTTAAAAGTAGAGCTTTTTTTCTCCCGCAGGCGCCTACCACGACTGACCTATCGTGGAAACTGTCCAGGCACCAGGAAGCCGTCCTCACGACCCCGCAAAGCGGCCCCGAGCTACGCAAGGCGGCGGCGAGCCCAACCGCCGCCCCCAATTATTCGGACCCCGTGAGTCCGGGCGTATCCGTCGGGATTTCGACGATCCAGAAGGGGATTTCCTCCGATAAATCTACCGCCGCGGAATCAACTGTCACGTCCACAACAGATAAAGGGTACGACGTGGAGGCGGCGGCGACGACAGAAAGGACCACCGACTCCAGTACGGGGGCTCCCAAGGATACTGGTAAATATACTTTAGTTATTAATTAATCGCTATGAGTCCCTGTGGGCCTACTAGAAGTATATAATAATAACAATAACAATAATAATAATGAACTGTCCTCATTGAAAATCAAAACATTAAAATATAAGTGATAATTTTTCAGAGAAACTGAGTTTAAGTCAATGTTTGAAGAAGCCAACAGGATGATTTATAAAAAGTGTAACCGCAAGAACCACAGCACCGACACCATAATTGTCAACAAAATACACACCCGTATATACATGGCAAATACAAGGAATGGACTCATACTCATGCTAGATACTGACGGGCCTAATACACAATATTGACGCTTCTTTGAAGGAATTTATTGTGGGGAGGGACGTTATAGCGTCGTAGCTAAAAGATCTCTGGAAAGTTACCGAAGTGACTCGATTATGAATATCATCGCAGATACATTCGCAATTATTTTTACATCCCAATTTCACTTCGCTAGCAACACAAGATAAATATAACTGAGTATCATCGGCGTATTGATGAGCTTTACAAAATTTAAGGAAAGTAGAGAAGTCCGCTGCATAAACCGAGAAGAGAATAGGCCCCAGAATACTCCCCTGAGGAACACCCCTCGCGGCACCTGAATGAATATTTCTTATAACTACCCTTTGGCATCTCTGACCAAAAAAAATTTTAAAAAGTAAAAGAGCCAGTTTAGCTAGGAGAAGGAAATGATCCAAGGCGTCGAACGCTTTGCTATAGTCCAAGAGTGTGAGACAAGAGTTTAATTTAGAAGTCGCTATTCTCAAGCTATTGTCAGAAGTAGTGCTGTGAAGAGGTCGAAAACCAGATTGAGGGTCCAGATGGATTTTGTTATCGCATAGGAACTGACGAACTTGTTTAGCGGCAATTTTTTCAAGAATCTTTGAGATGGTTGGCAGCAAATTGATTGGTCTAAAATCGTTAATGCCATTTGGACGCTCTTTCTTTGGACCGGGTATAACTTTTAAGAGTCCGATCAGCAGACACTTGTTCTCAAAAAAACTAAATGCGGAATAGTCAGAAGAATCATTTTTATATCAATATTGTCTGAGTCATGAGCGTTAGTTTTAATACTACTCAAAGTTTTATTAACTTCCTCAGGGTAAACTTTAGCAAAACGGAATGAATTGGGACAACATTTTTTGTTAATGTAATTTACCGACACAACCACATTTTCTCGGCTCTCACACTCTCACGATTGTCAAGAACTGTTGTTTTCGTTAAACAGTTTGAGTTTAGTCCCAATTTTTTCATCACGTTTTGTTTTCCTTCGTTTAATTTCTAATTAATTATTTATTTTTTTAACCAATAAAGATTATTTATTTAAAAATTATAGAGATTATAGAGATTATAAGAGTATAAGATGATGTACACGGTGTGTCAAATAAAACGATCCGTTTTATATATTTATTTATTCAAATTTGTTACCTTGTTCAATTAGCCTATAAACTTTAATTATTTATTTTTGCTGTTACGTATTTTCGATCAAGCTAGATAGTTAAGTATGGAATGTTTCTTTGTAAATATTAATTCTGAAGTTTTATTAAATCTGTTAAAGTTCCAAAATTTCCACTGTATTGTTAGCAATAGGTTTTATTCGTATATCTGGAGTATTATCTTTAAAAAAGTAGTATCATCAGGAAATACCTAATATTGCCAACAAGTGACCTAATGTAGGCAGCTTTAAATTTGATTGATATCTACCTATTTGGGACACCCTGTATAAGCTGAGGCGCATCTGTCAAACTGATGAAGTCTGTGGTTAAATTTTCGCTGCAATATCTGGATCAGTAGCGTCACAACACAATTTTATATGGGGCAATCAAATTATGCTATGCAAAATTTGAATAGGAACTTCTTAAGAATGTGACGTTTATTTTAACGAAGAATTCCAAAAATGTCGATATATATAAGGGAAATTTGTAATAACAAATTTGATTCGGTGTACGTACATGCCAAAAAATAATAGATTCCCCTACATAGATAGACGGTGAAAAACAAACATGTCCATTTTTGGAAAAACCACAAAATTTTATTTTTCCGATGGGCGCCATACTGAATTTCTACATTCTCAAAATCCTATTTAAATTGCTTTTTAACTATGTGTAACATAATCCGTAAAATACAACCAAAATGAGATTTTAGGGCTCTTTTGAAATAGTGACCAAACGTCGTTGTGCTACACATGGTTGAAAAACATTTTTAAAGAGGATTTTGAAAATACAGAAATTCAATATGGCGCCCATAAGAAAAACCAATGTTGACTTCGGCCGTACGCAACATAGTAGGCCTAAATTTTTTTAACGTGAATTGTGTGGCGGTGACGATTCAATTCCATTGACAATTCGTAAACCATGTGGAATAAATATTTTTTCGCGTAGGTCCGCCAAGGCAGATGCGCACCACCCAGGTCAGCAACACTGAAGAATACCCTAGCGCCATCAATCAGGGTCAGTTGTTCGGCATCATCGAAAACGGTGAGCCGCCTCCTCCTCCCCAATTTCACCCCACGTAGTACAAAATAGTAGCACCCAAAAATTGTGAAACCCAAATATTTTAAGTTCATAAAAATAGTAAAGCGCCTAAAGCAGATAATTTTTTTTTTGCGAACTAACCAACAGGCGCTGTATCGTTAAAATTTCCTCGATCCTATCCAAACCATTACTATTTACGTCCTGGTTTGAAAATTTTATTTTGAAATAATATTCAAATGGATGTTTCAGTAATAAAAACTTTTCAATACTTTAATATAGTCGCTACGATTTGTGATGGCATAGTCTGTCATAACACCAAGAGAGAAGGTATTTTACCGGCTTCCAAATTGTGATAAGATGACTTATAAGTACAAAAAAATATACTGCATTTACTTCGATTAAATATGCCGTCCTTAAGATATCTACATTGTAATGTGTTTCCATCTTCTATCCATGCTATACGTATTCTTTATGAAACTGATCGAAATAGCTCCTTTGCAACTGAACTGGCTCCGCAGATTCGTCAACTTCGTTTCTGATACTTGTTTTCCTTCATTTCTTGTCCCAAGTATCGAAACTTCCGTATAGACGCAGCTTTTACGTCCCCTTTTTTCATTTTCAGACTCCTAACGATCCCTAGAACATTACCCACAACACATAACTTCATACATACACATACACATATATTTGGGTAACGTTAGACCAATTGGTTGGTTCGCAGGCACCATGTTCGACATTATAGAACTCAACGATACCGCCGAGGACGGCCGAGTAGAGCCGAAATCGACCGAGGAACCGCAAACTGGAACGACCCCTACGCCGTCGGAAATTCACCCCGCGAAGAAGTACGACACCAAGGACCCACCGCCTACCAAGAAACCGGTCGGTAAGGAACCGTCGAAAAAACCAAATTCCCCCAAATCCAAGACACGCAAGGAGCCGGAAACTGACCTGAACAAAGAGTACGAGCTGTTGCCCGAGATCAAAGACACCTCGACGACCTTGAACCGTACCTACAGGAAGGAGGTGCCCCTTTTGGAGGGCGAGAGCTTTCGCACCCCCAAAATTATCAATTTCTCGGTCAACAACAACATCAACGGCGAGCTGGAGGACAATCTCGAGATCAGTTTCCGGGAGGAGAACAAGAACACCAACATTACGGAGACGATCATACTGTCGGCGTTGAAGAGCGAGGACGGGGAGAGTTTCGAGCCGAACATCGCGTCCATTTTGGAGAACATCGAGTCGGGATCCCGGGAACCGCCGATGATCGACCCGAAAATCGACGAACTCAACCGGAACGCGCCGAAGAATAACGACAGCGAGCCGGTAGGTATTCTTATCCGTGCGCCACTGGACTTATTATTTTTTCGTGGGATTTGACACGCGTGAAGTGGAAAATTACTCGTTTATTTTCTTCTTAAATTTAAAATGGCCCCTATTCGCGTTACATATTTACATGTTGACCCATCCTGGCGTCTAAAGACAGAGCTCAATCACAGATAAAATTGTTGAACTAAATTTTACAGCCCAAATAACAAGTTGCTGGAATTCTCGCGGAACTAACTCATAGATCCAAAAACTTAGCCCATTTTGCGTCAATATAGAAAAAAGGATACATTAGTCCTGCTACAAATATTAAAAACGACAATTTTAAATATAAAATAATAATCAGTATTAACTTTTAGGATCACATTAAAAAGTTTTACTTTACAATGATCAAAGGCTTAAATAAATATTAGTATTTTCTTCTGAAGTTCTTAATTTTAAACCAAGGATATTAAGGTTTTCCCAATTTTATTTTTTTATTTTTTTACTGTTGTCTGGATTTGTTTTTTATTTATAATTTCATCTATAATGGACGGATTGTAGCCGTTATTCAGTGCAATTTGTCTACAATCCCTCCATAAATTATAAATAAAACATTGTCAGGTAAAAATAATAATAATAAAATAAATAATAAAAATAATTTCGTGAAAATCTGAACGTTTAGTGCTTATCCCTTTTGCAAAGTCGTTTGATTTAATATCACAACAGAACACAAAAACATGTTTTATCAGCTTTAATTAATAAAGTTTGCACGTAATCAAATGGCACTTTAAAAAATTCCAAAATGCACGTAGAAAATTCTCAAACCTTACTACATAACATTCAATATTAACAGTTTTCTCGCTTGTTGCAACGCTGGCGTCAAGCGGTGGATGGGTAAATTTTATTTAAAATTTCCCGCTTTTTCTGTTTTCCAATAAAAATAGTATCTTGTCCTTTTCGTACTAAAACCATGCGGGTTTAAGTCATGTTATTTGACAATGTAAAAATGACTGCGTTTAAAGTATCAAATCTACTTCGTAGGCATTAGATTTAAAAGTAAGGTTAAGTTAAGAAATACAAATATGAACTAAATATTTGGTCTATCGACTTAATAAATGCTACCGGATTCCTATTTTTGTTATTAGAAAACGTGTGAAAGTTTTAATGAATAAAAATCCTAAAATGTTATTTTTGTAAAATCAGTTCAAATGAAAAAGAAGAGAAAAAAAACACGTTTTTAATTCTCCTGAAACTGAAATTCGCGCCATCTTGCTAGGACCAGAGAATAAGTCACAAAACATCCCACTAATGTCATCCACCAATATTAGCCCCAAATAAAAAAAAAGATGATTTTACTTTCATTTTTATCAAAAACACTTATTTTGTATTAATATATACAATAGGCGTCATTGGTTAGAAAACATACTTACCTAGGTTTGAATTTTGGTTTATAAAATTAGTAGGAAAAAAGAATGGACGAAGCCGAGCCGATATAAAACAATTTTCTCAGTACGTAGGTGCCGATCAAACGTTAGACGAAGAAAAGAGGCACTTCCTGCCCAAGTCTTTACTGCCGGACGCCTCCACCCTAAGCCCCGATGACGACAACTCCACCGTTTACAACGACTTCACGTCGGAGGAGGAGAAGAGACCCAATCGGAAGCGTCAGCTTCAGCGCAACAACAAGCAACGCAAGTCGTTCTACCCTTACTTTTTCAGCAGGATGTTGGGTTAGGTGGCGGCAGATGGCGCTGATCGGTCGCCTGGCGGGGGCGGAGGGCGCGATAACTATGTCAATGAAACGCAAAAAATGTTAATTACTTCGTTAGGACTCGCGGTCAAAAATCGATGTTCTCATTGGTTAGCTGTGTGATACTTGTTTTATTGTTCCCGCGGAGAGGCAGGCACCGTTGTCGAATCGGTGGGTTTAATGAAAAATAAAAATAACCTAAAAATCGATTCAACGAAGGAAACTTCATGTTTCTCCTCTGCACCGCGGACGGACGCAATATTAGGAAATTAGACACGCGCGTGGAGCTATCAAAATTCGATTTTTATCAAACCAAGACGAAATTCTCGTTGACGCAAATTGCTTTGTATTTATTGTTACCGGTCATAGTTAAAATTATTAACGAATTGTTGGTGTAGTTTTTTAAACGCTAGGACAACCTCGAAAGATTGCTTAAATTGTTAGGTAGAATGTCGCACATACAATTTTGATTTTTTAACGTCGGTTTAATACTCAAAAATGCTTTATTACCATCAACGTAGTGTCGTAGCGGTAGGTGATTGTTAGGAAAACTTCCGTTCGCGTTCCTTTGTAGGTGCATTCGTTTCTAGCGTTCCTAATAAAACGATTTATTAAAAAAAATATCAAGAAAATGATATATTAGCGTGTTAAGTATTATTGTTGTTTTCGTTGTGATACGCAAGATGCTCTAAGGAATATTAATTACCGCACAATTTTTGTTCTCGCACATACGTTATAAAATGCACGTGGTGCACTTAACCAACTTTGATGATTTTATTGTACATAATAACCATTATACTGAATGTACCATAATAATTGTGCTAAATAAAGGAATTTATTGTAATTTGTGACAATTCTTTAACCCTGCACAGCTGACAAACGAGTATGGCCGAATGGTCCTAGCAGTTCTCGCTAATAGCAGGAAAAGAAGAAGAAACGGGTTGGTAACAAGGTGACGCACAGTGACATTGTTTCGCATTTTTTATAAATATATTTTTAAATTTTAAAAGACACGCGCACATTTTCGTTCATTAATCGTCTTCGACATGATGCTTTTCCACACCAGATTACATTTTTCATTTCTAATACGAACAATTCAGTTCCTCATTGTGGAAAAATAATATTCCGCTACATCTTTTTGCAAAAAACTCAAAAATACGCCATCACTCTAGTCGGCAAACACGAAACTCAATAATTCAAAACCAGAGAGTAAGTAAAGTAAATATTATGCTATCGCAAAAAAAGGACTAATTTTATAATCAGAACAAATCTAAAATTTGTAAAAGTTTTGTAAGAAACAAATTGAGACTAGTTCTTGAGCACTTACCTTGGCAGCTAATACGAAAAGCACCAACACTTGGTAACATTGAAATGTCAATACTTGGTTCGACAGCGCTCAAAATATTAGTTTTCCAAAGCCTTCTGTGTAAATCTTGACGTTTGGCGTTTTTATAAATATGAAGATAATAAGTGATTAACCTTATTTTTAGATAATATGATTAAGTTAATTTAATTCAAATTGAAATTGCCACCCTTATAATTTGCTTTAATTGCGCGACGTTGGCAGCGAAAAAGAAGTCTTTAATACGCCAACACGGTGAGTGTTTTACCAAAAAAAAAATTGATGCAATATGTATTTGTAGCTAACCATGCATAGGTGCGTTTAGATCAAAAGCCAAAACAGTAAAGAAGAATAATTGCGAAGCTTGAATGATTATGGTAACCTTGAAATCGCCATAAGAAGAAGAGGTTCTCAGTAGTAATCTATGGAATTCAAAAGTTTTTGTTTACGCCGTTTACGCGTTTTCTGTATTGTCGGTAAAGGTGTTTCGTTATTAAATTTTCGCAATGTTATAATGAAGTGCTGATCGCTTTTTCGAGTCGCGGGTTGACCGAGTACAAAATTCGCGTTGTGTAATGTGAACAATGTAAGTGAAGCCAAAAATTCTAGGGACGCCAAAGAAGTTTTGAACTTTTAACGCCAGTGACGAGTACGGAATACGGCGGTAAGTTCTGAAACTGTTTTTCGCCTGCCCACGATGAAAATTCGAAATGCGCTGTGTACATCCTAAATATGTGGTCAGATACGCCTGGGACTCCATAGATGGCGCAATACGTTGTGAAATTAGCGTTTAAACTTTCGAATAACTCAAACCAAAACTAATACCAATTAAATATTTCAATGAAATCAATTACAATTGGCAGAAAATGGCATGACCATATAATTTGGATTTACCGGTAGGTACACAGAATTTAAAAACTTTAACGCAGAACGAGAAGTGGTTTATCGATTTTAATACTTAAAATGGCATGAGGTTAGGAAATAAAAAATCCAGTCGGTCTCGGAAACAATTTATTATAATATTGGTCTTCGAATCTGCAATTAAAAATATGGCACGCGAAAAAACGTAGAAATTATATACAAGTCAAAAAATATCACAATCGAACTTAAACTTGTACGTATAAGTCTTGTATTTACAATGATCCTAACCACCTAACGAACACAAACGGGACACGGAAAGATTCAAGTTAAATAAACTTAAAACACTTTTGCTTGTCGTGCGGTATTCTAGTTTTGAATAATATCGAATCCGCCCTATACTGGGTGTTCAGCAACGGGGTATACCCAAACACCTGGAAAAATTACAAATAATTCGTATCATATTTTTATTAGTAAAAATCAACTTTTTTAATGAAATAGCTGCTAACAGTGTCTATGCAAAACGATTTGTGGACAATTGGCTCTACCACCAACCACAGGTAAATGACTCGCAATGTCAGTTTTGATTAATAAGTAATTTAGTAGTAAAAATATCGTGAATAGGTAGGCACCAAAAAAAAACCAAATTTGTAGGTTATAATCCTGAGTTTTTCCAGATTTGTTTCCATAGAATAGGAAACACGACAACTTCAATAATAAGTATAATTTTTTTATACTTAAACTTCCCTTCACTATATTCTTTCTGTATATTTGTTTATTCAATATTGGTATTTCGCCCACACACTCGCCTGCGTAAAGAAGTTGATACACTTGTGCCTCTCTTGAAAATGAGTATCGTCCTCGGAGAGGCTCTGCGGACATCCGGGACAGCGGAACGTCCACCTGGAGGTCACCTTGACCGGCGGCTTCCTTGTGATGTGACTGACCAAAAAGTTCATCGCTATGTCCTCGCAGTTCATGTACTCGTCGACCTTGTCCCTGATCGCTTGAGGTAACCACGTCCAGTACAAATGCAGATAATGGCGGTGCAGGAAAGCTGCTCCGGTCAGCACCATGCTCAGTTCGCAGCTGTAGTTCGAATTGTACAGCCAGCCGTTTTTGGTGTTGAGATCCCACGCGTGGAAACGACCGGGAAACCCGACGATCCTGTCCCTGTGTTCCCGCCACACCCTAAAACCGAATAGTATCTCGTCGTGACGCAAGTGGGCGTCGTCGTCGACCGACAAGATGGCCTCGGTCTGCAGGTTTTCCAACGGCAAAAACCGATTGTTTAGCGAATTCCTAGCGGCTTTGATTACGTGGACCGGTGCTCCTATATCGGGCCAGCGGAGCTCCGGATTTGGCGGTCTCGGAGAATTCCAGACCACGACCACCGAGTGCAAGTAAGGCAGACCGCGCAGACGCGAGATGGAATCCAGAAGGACTTGTTCCCTTTCATACGTGAGGAGCATGATGGTGAACTGTTCGCGGGGAGTGTTGCCGCCTAAGGCTTCCGAGAACTCCTTTCCCGCACCTAAACCAGAGTCAACCTGTACCGAGAGATACGAGAGAAACTAACCAAACCTACGGGGAATAAGCCGGGATGAAGAGGGCGAGCACATTCAAAAGTTAGGAAAAAAATGAGAATTTCTGAGACACAACTAGTGGACAATCGGTTTGCGCCATAGAGATAGGGCTGAAAGCAATTTCAGACTTATATGACGTCCTCTGAAGGGAAAGAAGGATATTTTATTCAATTCAATTCAAAATTCTAAGACTCAATTTAAGGCGTAAAACTTAAGCACATAAGTAAGCAATCTTTAATACTTCAACAAGTTACATCAAAAATTGGATTACTGAAGACTAAAACACGATCTTTAGTCAACCAAACAGCGAAGCTTCAAGGTGATACATGTATATTGCTCTTATAAGTCCTCACCTATGGAGCTCAAACGGTAACATTCACAAAAGCCTCAAGAATGAAACTGCGAAGAACCAAACGGAAAATCGAGAGATAAATGCTGGGACCAAATCTTTGACCAAAGAGTATACTAGAATTTCTCTTAAGAGAATAAGTACAAATTGGATACAGACAGCACAGAATAGAGAATGGAAAACACCGGCGAAGACCTATGTTAGACAATGGATAAGACAAGAAGGCCGGGATGGTGATGATGATGATGATGATGATGATGTCCACGGGATGTCTTCTGAAAATTCTATTCGGAATGATCCTAAGTGTTAACCAAATTGTTAAAGTATAATTTCCCAAGGCAGTACGCCATACCATTGGCACAAAGCAATATCAACTGCTGTAACATAAAGGACGACAGGTTTTGATTGTTGAGAATCAATCTGAGAAAAGCGAGTAGCAAATATGACTGTACCATGCCTCCCAGATGTAATCTTTCATCTTCTGAATGATGAAGATATCAGAAGGTACCAACCAAGTTGGCAAAGACCTATATTGCAGATTACTGAAATAAAGAGAGCTGAGGAGAGAGTCATTTATACCATTGGCACAAAGCAATCTGCACTCTTGTAACTTGATGCACGAAAAGTAGAGAATTGAGAATCAATTTCAGAAGCTCCAAGTATTTTAAAGTGTATGGACATATTTGGTTCATTTATTAAATAAAAACAGCCTTCTAAAGTGAAAGATAAGACAAAACACAAAACGCAACGAAGTTAAAATTCTAAAATCACTTATTACAGGATAATTTGTTGAGGATGTAAAATGTGTTTTTCTGTGTTTAAGTGTGTGTAAAAATCAAAAAAAGTCATGTAAAAATATACAATTTCGTGAAAATCTGAACTTTTAGTTCTTCCACTCAGTTCAACTCTATTTTGTTCTTGTCCTGAAGGATGTGCAAAATGTGAATGTATCTTGCGAAGGGAAAGAAAGAAGCTCACCTCCTTGTCCGTTTCCGATGGGCCTGAACCCTCTGCCGGAGCCTAAGAACTTGGCGTCCGAGGGCAGGATCGGATCCATCGGCAGCGTCGGATACAGCCGAAAAGGATCGCCCCAGTCGTTCCACACTTCGTGCCCCTGCGTGAGCAACAAACTGAAATTCCTACGGAACGCGGGGCTGTTATACGACGGCTCGAGGGGGCCCAAACTTTCCTCCTGTTCGAGTTCCCCGGCCGGCGGTACCAAAACCGGTTGAAACGTGTTATTAAACACGCTAACTGCGGTCACAGTTTCGACGGGCAACGCGGGTATGTTCATCCGATACCTCAACACGGCTATGATCGTGTCTAGCGTGGCCTGAACGGACGACAGGTACCGTTCCCACACGAGTCGACCCTGTCTCCTAAATAATAAAATATCCTCGTCCGGGATACTACGCAGGAGAAAGTGCAATTCCGTTACTCTCGTTCGCGGAACGAATATCCCCACGCGCCGCCACTGGATCACCTCGTCGTAGGCCAGTTTCACTTGGTCTCCGCCCAGCACTACAGGTACCGCACCTGCAACATCAGTTTTATCACGGAATTATAGGTAACGGATAGCAGGATTGCACGCTAATGAAACTTTAGTCTCCGTTTTGACGGTGATTCCACCTCCAAAAAACCCATCCAGCATTAGTGTTCGTTTATAGGTACGTATAAACAACCCAATAACTACAATTCAAACAGCAACGGTGTTTGACCTACAGCATTCGGCCTCCATTTAAGAACTCATATTTACAGTATTCATTTACATGATATAATAAGGAGGACTCAGGGTAGAGATGGCAGTTATTCACTGCCGTAACGTGATACACGTAAGTATGCTCTTTGAACGCTGATAATAACTCTCAAAGGTATTTTAAAAGGGTATAAACTACACGGTAAAATTTTTTTTCTTAGATCAAAGCAAATTGCTTTGTAGTAAAACAATCTGTGCTTTCCTATTCACCAAGAGAATATTTGTTCTTGATTTATCGCAAAAAATCTCTTAACTCTCTGTTTTGAATCGTACTTTACTTTAAAATAGATTTCTCATGAAAGGTTTTGAAACTTTTACTTCAACGTTGGTCTTTGATCATTGAAATATCCGCGGTTGTAAAACTGAAAAGAGGTGAAAAATGAAAAGAAATATTTTTTTTAGATGTTTACGATTTTACTAAATTTTATTAAAGTGGCGATATCGCGAAAACCATCGATTTTTTACTAAGCCCTTTTTATGTTTTTCTTGATGCTTATGACTTTTTCCGTCAGCCCTTTCAGTATTATCGTTGACTTTGGGGACGCCCCGTATGTATAAAAGTATTACAAATTGAATTTGTTTTTTAGAAGTGATTGTATTGTTTGCATAGGAATATAGGTGTTTTGATGTAAAGAACAAAAATGGAAAGAAATTCAATCGTACGAAAATACAAAAATATTTATTTTTCTTTTAACATCCTTAGGAAACATAGTCTTATATTCTAAAAGTCTGAAAAAAAAAAATTCAAGATTAGATTTTTCTTAAAGTGAGAGCGTCGTAGCTTCCATAGAAACAAATTTTTGTTTTATGCTAAATAAAATAAATTAAGAACCCTCGATGACTTGTATGAAGCCAATTCGTTTTGTTAAAAAATCAATTGTTTCGAAACAAAACAATTAAAGAAGAAAAATAAGGTCTCATTACAAGGTGAAACACTCAGTTAAGCTAAAAAGAAGTATTTCACTTCAAGACAAATTGTTTTGCGGTAAAACAAAATGTTCAAGAAAAGAAAGAGTTTTCTTTGTAGACAAAAATTTTTACCGTGTATAACCTTCATTTATTGATTGTGCCATGTCTTCGTAGTCTTAAGTCGTCTGTAGGAAAAGACAGAAAAATTAGCCAAGATAAAACAAGAAATTGAAGATCTTGATTAGGCAACAAGCTTAATGTAAAACAAATTACTAAAAAGGATAATTCTCAGTTAAGGAGATAGAGGGAGCCGGAGAGACTTAACTTGTACTTAATGCTTGTTATACTTTTATATCGCATTGTTGTGACAGTTGAGAATCAATCTCAAAATGGTATAAAAACGCATATGAACATGCCAACTTTATCGTTCCAGTGCCATATTTATAGTATGAACAGGTGCGAAATTTTGGGTTTCGTTGCAGAATAAAGACCGCTTGAGGACTACTTAGAGTAGAGAAAGAAAAAAGCTAGGTCTCGTAGGTTATGTGACAAAAAGCAAAATTAGTTTGAGGAAAAAATAAATTCCAGGTAGTGTATGAAAAGTCCCTTTGCCAAAGAATTATTCTTACCTTACCCTATCTTCTGGTTGTCAAAATCGTATGAATATAAAAATCACTATCACAAAGTCTCAGGTTTGGGCAGATTAAGCCGTGCTGCCTGTAATAGAAATGAAAATGATTTTGAGGAGAAAGAAGAAGTTATGTCAAGAGCTTGGAAACCCCTTTTTGGCAGGAATTAAGAAGGAGATAAAGATAAGGCTTCTCAAATTGAATGAATATAAAAATCGTTACTAGAAAGCGTCAATTTTGGGTATAAGGAACCGTCTTGCCAGTGCTGCAAATGAAAACAATTTTGTGGAGAAAATAAATTCCAGAAATTCCTTGTGGCAACAAATTAAAAAGAAGATAAAGATAAGGCTTCTCAAATCGAATGAATAGGCCGTGCTGCCAGCGGTGGAAATGAAAATGATTTTGAGGAAGATATAAATTTCTGGAAGTAATGTCAAGAGTATGGAAACAGGAGGATAAAGACAAGGACTTCTCAAATTGAATGAATATCAGTACTAAAAAGGTCGCTCTTGGCCGATCCCGGGAAGTGTCAAGGTAACGTTAAGGATCCATCGCTACCTTAAGGTAACCTATGGCTTCCCTCCTCAAAACGGAGGTTATGTTCCCAACTGAATTGGCTTCTGTCCCCCCCCCCCCACCAAATACATTTGCCTTCTGCTTACCGGCCCGCAGAGCTTCGTAAACTCTGGCCTGGAGCAGCGTAGTCGACAGCAGCTCATCAGAAGCCGGCGCAAAAATTAAGACGAACGTCGAATCTTTGAGAACGCCGCGTCTACTGCTGTCCGTGCCGCACAGGGCCCAATCTTGGGGTCCGGTGTCCATGAAATCGTCGTTGGCCGGCACGCATTCAAACTCTAGGGAAATCTGATCGGACGTGTGCGTTTTGACTAGCTGCCTCAGGTGATCCAAAATGAAACTATTTAATTCGACGTCGTCTCTATCGCGGGGGTACGCGACGTGTCGGACGTTACTTTTGTTCGATTTGATTTCGCCTTGGAACGATAAAAGGTACCTGCGTCGGGCCGGCAACATCGGAGCGCATTCCCGCCAGATGTCGCCACCGGGCGGTCCCAAAACGGGCGGCACGATTAGGTCGAAATCCGCGCGGAACCGCCGCCGCGTGAACGTAGATTGCACCACGATCGCACGGCCTAAAATTTCAAGTTAAACTTATACACGGGTGTTATGCCAATCGGGCCGGGTATTATAATGGATGAGTCTGAACACGGAACCGACTACGGGAAAATATTTTGGTTCGTCGAATCGTACCATTTTTCGGCATAGATGGATAGATATTTATTTCGCTTTTCGATACAACATATAACACGTATATGGTTATATTAAGCACGTCACATCACATTAAAATACAGTGTTTTTTTACTGAGTAGAGACACCTATTCTTTTCTTAAATACAGATAAACTATCATTTTCTTCGAAGCATTTATAGAAATTTAAAGCTCTGTTATATACTTTCAAGCAAAAATACCTTGGGTTTTGTTGCCCGATATGCAGTCTAGCGAATGGAACGCCCAAGTAATCTCTTTGCCGTGTGTCATGTCACATCTCCTATTCCATCTTATCATGTTACTTTTGACGTAAATCAAAACGGAACAAATATATAATGACGGAAGTGTCATGATCTGAAGTTCCCTACATAAATCCCTACATATATATATATATATATATATATATATATATATATATATATATATATATATATATATATATATATATATATATATATATAAAGTTTGTCAAACTGTCAAAAATTCTATGTTTCAGGGTTATCAGTGATACAGGGTAATAAAATTGCGTTTGTTTCCGAAATTAATTATTTAGAAGTGATGTTTTAGTAGTCATATTGAATATGAGAAGAAAGAAAATACGTTTTTTAACCGTGTATCGCGGATTTAATAAATAATGTTCGTAATTTTAATGAGCTGCCGGATAATATAAAAAACTCAAGGAGTGAAGTTTATTGTCTGTTTAAGTAAATTTTAATTGCTTGTGTAAATAGCCACTGGCAAAATAAATTCATTATTATTATATTATAGTATTAACTGCTCATTGACCACAAGAAATTGATCATTCAAGACATTTCTTTGCCGGTTTTATGTTAATTGGTACCATTTTTCGGAAATTGGTGAATGTGATTACCAGAACCTCAAAAAAATGGTTGTTTAGAATCACTTTATCCCCATGTAGAAAATGTTTTTTATTTTAAAATGTGGAATGCAATTATTCCACTATTAATAAGTCTTGTTGCAACACTGTGTTAAAAAATGTGTTATTTTTGTTATTGAAGTTTAAATCTGCGTTTACAAGAGGCCACTTTATGTGTTATCACTAAACTGTGTTAAAAATTATGAGTTATTTATGTGTACCTGTATCGACAACTGAAAAAATGTCCCCCGAATTGGCACTCAAGTCTCTCCGTGCCAAATTCAGTAGAATATGGTTCCTGCCGTCACCTCCCCAATAGGGGAGTCGTTTTAAAGCCTCCGAGTCCAACGGCGGAAAAATTTCTCCGTTCTCCCCCGCATCGTCAGCGTCTTTTAAAGCTTCACCGACTAGCACCAAATATATACACGCCTGAGCGGGATTGCTTGTTAAGTGCGGGTTGAGCCCTAGGGCTTGTTTTAGAGTGGTCTTCAGGAATCCATCGACATCCCAGCCGTCATGCATCACCGGATATTGGTCAGGGTCATATAAATAAACTGGAAATCCAGACGTCAACGAGCACCTGGAAAACACTCGCGAGATTAAATTTTCACCATCTTGCACAAATAAATAGTACCTGGAATGGTCGAAACACGAAAACATTTTGCAATTTACGGATCGGTTTCTCGGTATAGGCTGTAAGATCGGCGGCAATGTATCCGAAGTTAGTCTTTTGGGTGCTGCAAGATCAGGAGTGTTCTCCTGTAAAGCTTCCTGCTGAGCGACTTGTGCTTGTTCGACGGATATTTTCAATTTGTTTAGGTTGTTCTGGTGGTGCGCCAGATCGAGCTTCGCCTCTTCAACATTTTTGGAAAACGTTTGCAGTTCCTGTTTGAGCTCTTGCCTTTTTTTTTCGATATTTCTTAGTTCGCTAAGCACCGAGTTTCTTATGCGTACTAGTTCTTCGACGCCCACCCTTAGGTCTATTTCATTGATGCTACTAAATTCGTCAGACAAGTCCAAATGGAACCTAGCGCTATTTAAAGATGTGCTAGAGTTACGTTCGACTTTGGACAAGTAAAAGTGAGTGATCAGCGGCGTGAAAATTAAGATGGCTAAAACGGTTACGACGATCCTGGAGAGTTTTACGTGGGCCAGCCAGTAGCAAAATTGTTGGCGGTTCTCGCTCTTTAACTGAATCATTTTAAGTGCCGAGTAAGCTTTCGTGCTAAATCGTATTAATCGTCGTGCGACAAGGACGCTAGTACTACCTGTTTACCATATTGAACGGCTTTAAAGTCTTTTATTTATTTATTTGGTCGCATAAAAATCAAACGGGAAAAATAGTTAAGCGGAATATAGGTTAGGTTGAAACGGAGTTCTTCGTTGACGTGCGCGAGCCGGACCCCCAGAAACCAGGTTGGTCTATTGGCATGTCGCATGTGTGATGTAACACCGCACGGGTTTAATTAGACGTTTTCGATTAAAATATATTAATTTATTAAAATTATTATATTTATTAAAATATATGAGTCATCGAACAGAACATGGCGTAAAATAAAAGCACGATTTATTGTATTCCTGTTTATTTTCTAAAAGTGGAGTCCAAAATCAAAAACTATAAACCAAGAACGAGTTTTACACAGTGATACACAACATTAAAGTCGTATTTTCGCGACCTGGCATCTTACTTTTTATAACTTATGCTCAGAGCTTAACCATTCAGACGGCGTAAAGTAAACTGTTGATGATGTCGTGGTTCAGCTAGAGCATCTTCTGACGCAAGTCGATAGAACGCGAAAATACCACCCAAATACAAGCGTAGTTTCAGATCTAATATCGAAGCTTTCAATTGCAGAGAAAAAACACCGCCTAGTGCAACTGCGTTGTGTGGGAATATTATAACCTATAAAATTACGTAGCATAGCAACAAAAGAACCTATAAAATAGATGTCTAGGGATTGGGTCAAAACATTCCGGCCAATATCGAGGCATCGAACATTATTTCCAGGTGACATTCAATTTTATAGGTTATAAAGCCGTAGTAAAAATTGATTTATATGAGGTGTTCGAAAATAACACACTTTTTACTTTTCTTATTCTGGAATTTTCGATCACGCCACATTGAACGAAAAAAAGAAGAAGAGGAGTATCGAGTTTAGGTTAACTGAGTTATACATCAGCATAATGAATAATATGATTTTTTTGTTGTTTTAATATTTTATAAAAGAGTCGATAAAATTTCAACTTAATATTTCTCTCTAATTGCATATTAACAGACTCTCTCCTCGTCTACAACTACGAAAATAATAGTGTCCAGTCTTAGGATATACGAGGGCGATTATTACTTTTTCAATTGTCCGCCGTCCGAATCATAAGGTAAATTTCGCTACGGGAGAAAAACGCGCCGCTACAAGGGGCCCTTTTATCAATTCTACATTTATTTGGTACCCGCTTAACGCATAAAAAATGTATCACAGAAAAAATAGCCCTAACATTATTTGTCGAAGTCGTGATAAGTCTTAAATTTAGGGATATGCACTCGTGGCGGGGGAGGGTGGGGGGAGATATGAAACTTTTCGCCTCAAATTTCGTGGCGTAAATTTGGTCGGTAAACTTTAAAAATGCAATGACGAGTCAATATAACCTCGTTCTTTACGAACAATTATTCTAAAAATTATCACGTGTGTACGCGCGACGACCCTAGATAAAAAATTTGGTTAGTTTATAACGCCGTGCGCTCGTCGTAAACGATGACTGCTTCGTTGTCGACCAGCGAATCGGTGTCTTTGTGCAGGAATTGACTACGTGACTTGCTTAACGCTATTATTGCTGCTTCGTCGTTTCTCATTCGGTTTTTTCGTTTCTTGCTGAAATTGACCTGCAACAAAATGATGATTTGTTGCTCCGGCTAATCGATCGGTAGTAAATCGATGCTTCTCAATCGAAACCAATGTACGTCTGGACACCACAGATCATCACCCCCAACCGTTTCAATTCTTTTTCTTAATAACAAACCGTTCACTCAATCTTAATTACAACTGGGACCCGCCACATTTAAAATTTTTTTGTTATTTTTCTATTAAAAACATCATCCAAAAGAATCAATAAATACAATTTTTGTTAGCTATAATTTTTAATTAATTTTTGGTATTAGCGTTTTTCAAGAAATACTTTCTCATAATATAATGTGTAGAGGACCTTTTGTGTCAAACGAATTAAACGAAATTATTAAACAATATCAATAATATTTAAGAGTATCTGTTTAAATAATAAATGAATATTTAAATCTCGCAAACAGATATTAATAAATAAATAAACAATATATATATATATATATATATATATATATATATATATATATATATATATATATATATATATATATATATATATATATATATATATATATATATATATATATATATTCAGTAGGAAAAATGTAAAAAGCATAGGTTTTTATTAAACGAACGGTTTATATATAAAACCATACTCAAATTGCAAAAAAATAGTTTAGAAAAAACTAATAAATAATAATTAAAATAAAAAAATTGAAAAAAAAGTAAAAACCTCAGATTTCTATTAATCGAGGCCTTTATTTTTATTTTTTAATTATTATTTTTTATTAAACGAACGGTTTATATATAAAAACTGAACCTTTTAATTGCGCAAATAAATAATAATAATTAAAAAATAAAAATAAAGGCCTCGATTAATAGAAATCTGAGGTTTTTACTTTTTTTCAATTTTTTTATTTTAATTATTATTTATTAGTTTTTTCTAAACTATTTTTTTGCAATTTGAGTATGGTTTTATATATAAACCGTTCGTTTAATAAAAACCTATGCTTTTTACATTTTTCCTACTGAATATATATATATATATATATATATATATATATATATATATATATATATATATATATATATATATATATATATATATATATATATATATATATATATATATATATATATATATATATATATATTCAGTAGGAAAAATGTAAAAAGCATAGGTTTTTATTAAACGAACGGTTTATATATAAAACCATACTCAAATTGCAAAAAAATAGTTTAGAAAAAACTAATAAATAATAATTAAAATAAAAAAATTGAAAAAAAAGTAAAAACCTCAGATTTCTATTAATCGAGGCCTTTATTTTTATTTTTTAATTATTATTTTTTATTAAACGAACGGTTTATATATAAAAACTGAACCTTTTAATTGCGCAAATAAATAATATTAAAGCTTGTTTTTATATCTGTTAATCATTTAAAAAAATTTTTTTTGAGGTGCAATTAATTAAAAAAAAAACTTAAAAGAAGCAAATCGCTATCAAATGAGTCCTTTATATATAAAAATATACTCAAATTGTGATAAGAAATTTGTACAAAAAATAATAAATAATAAAAGAACTTTTTAATCTCACAAATTAATAATAATAAGGCTTTAGTGTTTTATTTATACTGGTTATATATATATATATATATATATATATATATATATATATATATATATATATATATATATATATATATATATATATATATATATATATATATATATATATATACATAAACTCAATAAAGTTTAGGTGTTTTTTATACCAGTTAATATTTTTAAAAACCCCATAGAAAAAATATTTCGCTCATTTGCTCTTCTACCGACCTTAGCGTACAAATCGTTCAGGTCGTCTTCCGTCGAGAGAGGTCTAGGTTTCGACCTGACCCACGCGGGCAGACTCCTGGTCTTCAATGCAGGTTCGTCCGCTCTGACGTCATCCTGGCCGCCCGCTTCGTCTAAAACTGATTTTAAAAAATGACACATTTGTGCGAATCGAGAGTGGATCACACGCACTGCTACTCGATGCGTATTGGGGACTGCTGGGCGAAAATTCGGAAATCTCCGGTAGCGCCTGCTTGGGCACCACGTCGCCGTTTATATTCACGCTAGATGGTATCGGTTGACTGACGGGGCGTGGTTTTCGCATTGACGAGTTGTTGCTCGAATGACCCTGCAAGCAAGAGTTTGGGTAGTCTTTTCTTCAAAATCGGCTAATTTTCAAAATTCCAATAATAAAACCAATATCTATATTCATTGATATATACTGCTTGCACCTAATTTTGATAGAAGCGTTTATTGGAAGTTGAAATGATCATAATGTGACGTGGCCTAGATATTACTTTATATACATAAAGTAACATATAATGCAAAGCCCCCATTTATTAAATAATTTTCTAAAAATAAATAATTTGTGAAAAAAATCTTACATAGAATTCATAGGATAGGTTATTTTGACAATTTCCGCCGGCTGACGTTTAACGCCCTAATTTTAATTTTAATTTAAAAATTATCCGCTAGACTTCAGCTGGTCATTAGAAAAAGATTTATAGTGTTCTGCCTCATATTTCACATTCAGCCTACTTAATATACGCGCTATTTACAATTTATTATGAACGTAATTATTATATGTCATTATTATAATGTAAAATGCATTATAATGTTAATAATGTATTTAAAATGCCTCAAATATAACATTCACAGGCCCCTATTTATAATGTATTCTAAGTACTCCTCTATTTACAATGAATTTAAAAACGGTCTCTTATTCATAATTCATTATAAATGGCCTCCTATTTATAATGTATTGTCTTCTATTTATAACGTATTAAACAGGCTATTTGGAATATATTATAAATAGGTTGGTCTAACAATTCGCAACAATTTTTATATTTATAGGGCCCCGGGTGAATCTTAACCCCCCAATTTTAATAGATTCAATTTTTTTTTCACGAAAAAACATCCAGCCGGCCATTAAAAGAGGATATATAATGTTTTGCCTCATAGTCACCTGCTTATAATGTATTAACAAACGACCCCTATTTATAATGTATTATAAATAGGCCCCCTATTTATTATGTATTGTAAATAGGCCCCAGATTTCCTGGATTTATAATAATATTTTTCGTTATTTAGATATTTTTTGGAGGAGCAAAAAACTATATTTTGGATAACTCTTACGTGTTTGGCTGATATGATAATTATAAAATTTTATCGAATACGGAAGAAAAACCCAAGATATCTGTAGGGAGGAGTACAAAGTCGTGGCTGAGGAACCTTAGGGAGTGGTTTCGATGTGTAATCCTAATAAATAAATAAAAGTTAATATCCATTTATAAATTTTATTCACCTGCTGTCCAGGATTGCTGCTACTTCTCGGTACGGGACAAACGCCAGGACACTGGGTACACTGGGGTCCACCGATAACCCTCCCGGTATACCAAGGGTTGGGTTGCAGCGGACCGCCGCCCCCGATCACCCTGTTGCTGTAGCCCCACCCGCACCGCTTCTGTTCGGCGAACACGGCCGCCTGACTCACTTGGTAAGCGGGGGCGGGCACACCCGGGGGCGGTATTTGGGTGGACGAGGATAACGCGGGATCTACCTTTCGAATACCTAAGAAAATGTTATTCTGCGATTTGATTTCGATTAGTTTTGAATGTGCAGTGAAATTATACAAATTCAATTCAGTATACCCTGTTAGGGTTGGTTACTTGAACGCGGACATTATTTATTTTTTCCTTAATCAAATAGTTTTTGATTGAATTATTGCGTGTTTGAGGTTTTAAGTCAACAAATTTTGTATGAGTTAAGTAGTCTTTACAAGGAGCTGGTACATTCAACAATTCCATATTTTCAGCTAGAACGCGAACATAATGGACGCTAGACGCCTGTAGCTGTTGTTAGAGAAGCCAGTTTTAGTCACTCCATGTTCATAAATTCAATAAAAGACACAGATTAATCTCTCGTAGGGTAAATGACGCGTGAAATCTGGTGTGCCAGCTTTGTGAAATACGTAAAATATTGGTGAAATCGTACGTTATTTCAAAAATGTTGAGCTTTTAACACTTTTCATTAGTTGGTTCCAGTTTGAATACACTTCACCACAACCTTCCAAAGACAATGAGTCCGAAAACAACCCCACACTTGCCAATGTCGCCCTTCTTTACATTCAGAACAGCACATATCAAAGGTTCTTCAGATATATAACGTCACCACTTTTATCACATCACGAATTAACACTTCTTCAAATCTCTCACAATCTTCGATCTTATATGCGGACATTGCATGTAATCAATTCTTCTACCGAAGAAAAATCCGAGAATCTAACCAACCAAACAATCTTAACCGCGACTCAGGTTTTTACCTTTCACTAATATAGGACTCGTCCGAGACAATGTATTTTTTATGGACAGAAAATTATCGTCGAAAATGCTACTTAAATGTTAACAAAGAAATAAAAAACTAACTAAAACTTATTTAAAACTAAAGAAAAAAAAATGTAAATAAAATTTAAAGAAAAACATTTGTAAATATTATGTTTACGTTCGCTTTTAAATTATATTAATTTTATTTTCCTTTTTTTTTACTTTTCTTTTTAAGGAATGAGTCGAGGGTGGATCAAAAATTTTATCTATTATATTCTCAACCACCGTAGTAAAGCGGAGGATAAATTGTTCACAATCAATGTTAGAATAGTTATGTTTTGAATAACAGTTGTTTATTTCATAATTTATTAATTTATTTTCAGAATAATTAATAATTCATTATATATTTTCAAAAAAACTTTCACAGGCTACTGTAATACTTTTTACAAAACTTCTGGATTCCTCCTGCGTTGGTTTTGCTAGCAATTTCGACTCAGCAAAAATCGACGCAGGAGGAATACAGAAGTTTTGTAAAAAGTATGCTTATATATTGTTTGAGGGGGCCGGAGCCAAATGAGGGGCACAAACACCGTCTCGGATCCATATTGGTGACAGGTAGAGAGCTGAGTCGCGGTTAAGATTGTTAGGTTGTTTATAGATTTCTACAGACTCGGATTTTTTGTAGCTGGAAGAACTGATTACATCCAAGAATTTTAGTTTTATCAAATAAAATTTTATGTCGGGTTTTATGAGTGCGTTCGGTAACAACTGATGGGTTTATTTGTCTTAGCCGTTGGTGTTCTTTGCCGCATATGCATGGAATGCTGTAAACTCCTGGCATCTCAAATGGAATTTTGTCTTTGACGGACCGAAGATGTTGAGAGATTTTTGGACAAGGGGTAAATCTGGTTTTGACGTTATACTTCTTTATAACTTTTGATATGTGGTCAGTGATGTTTTCAATAGGTCGAAGGGGTAATCCTGGTTCGTGAATCCGTAGAGACGACGGAATTTTAGAGTCGTGAGGGATAACAGATTTTTCAAACTGAACTAGTGTTCAACTTTATAGTTTTCGTCGCACAAAACTCAGCATCACTTTCTATGTAAAACTGAGACATGTCTACAGGGTAAGTTTCATCGATTTCATTAAGAAAAAAGCTAGTGTTCAAATAGATATATAAAATGTCAGGAAATGTTATTTAAAGAAATATTAAGTTGACTGACCTGACAGTAAGGTCAGTAACATACAAGTTTGAACACTGTTAAGATTTGGCGTCACATTTTACGTCAACACAAATTGAAATGTTATCAGTCAGTAAGGGATCAGAAACTAGTCATTCTCGAAGCTTGTTTTTACGTGTGTCCAGGATGGCCATAAGGTGGGATCCTGTGCCCGTAGGCTGTTTTTCTCTTTTATGGCGACTTTAAAGGAGTATTTAATTTGGACGAAGCGAAGGTAGGAATTCCGGTACTTCAAATTGGCAATTAACGCGGGGCGACTAAACCAGATTTGTCGCGTGGATATATCGTGAGAGGGAAATCGGAAAATAATTAACGTATTGCAATAGCGGAAATTAAACTAGGGACCCCGATTTGCAGTCTAACTGCAGAGATATTAATTAAGGATTAACTTAAAAAAAAAACACCATTTTTTTTTTTTAAACGCTTCGACTCAAACGTCAGATATCAACTTCACCTCTCCGTTTTCAATTCCGTATATAATAATTCGTCTATATATAGACCCACGTAAAAACCTACGCACTCACCCGCTGAAAATAGCAATTTGAGAACGCAGACGATAAAAAGAGACACGAGAAACGACATTTTACCTGTCACATCACGTCAGTGTCGAATTAATCGTGGCCGATCTCAATTTAACGCCGTTTCTTTCCCACCGGAACGACTACATTCAAATCGACGCAAATCAAATCGAAATGAACCCGGAATTTTAATAGAATTTATAACGTTACCATTTATAAAAATCATAAGTCGGTTTCAGTAAATACGAAACACATAAATAATCGAAATAAACTGTAGACAATTGTGGTCTGTGCTTCGGTGGTCTAAAGTACAATGAAAAGAAGAAGAAAAATAAAAGTTAAAAATTGATTAAAAACTTGTGTCCTTTGAAAAAATTTCCTCCAGTACATCTTTTCATTGAATTGTTAGAGGCGTAGTGCCTACAGTTTTGTGGATTGGTCCTTGTTTTGTGCGGATGTCTATGGATTTGTATGAAATATTGCTCGGTTTCCGGATGTCTTACATTCACACTGGTATCCAGGCCAGATGGGATCGGATATCCCGTATGAGATAATTGCTAATTGGTCGAGGAAGAAAAGAGCAGGAATTGAAGCGCTTTTTGTCTCTAGTTTCCACGAATTTATGTGTAAAAACTAGACATAAAGCTACCGACCATATACTTTTTAATTTTTGTGTAGAACTGTTCAAAGGAATGTTCAAAATTTTCAATTTCGTGAGTTTTCCATTTTCCATTCGATTTTATTTTCATTAGTTTTAAGTAGTTTTATATTAAGTTTCAGAATTCTATTTTCATTTCTATGTTATTCTATGTTATATTAGTTTTCCTCATTTTTGTATGCACTGTTTTACTATTTTAGTAGATGATATATCAATAATAAATATCAGGAAAAATGACGACTATGTCATAACGATGACACCCAGCAAATGCCATAAGAATACGCTTGGTATCACTGCTAATGTTATCGTCATCTTTCCGGAATACTATTATACCCACATAGTCATTGATTCATGACAAATTAATCTGTGCTATTTAATATACAAGTGGCTTAAAAAGTTCACCAAAATTGCATATGCATATGACCGTTAGTTTTTCGGTATATTTTCGCAAAACAACACAAATACATTCACTGACATGACCGTCAGATTTGAGAAATGTAAAAAATTCAAACCGTGCGGTAAAATCTCAGAATTAAGTAGAAAAATAGTATTTCAGTACTATATACAGTTGCAGTTTAGCTCTAACGAGATGATTAGCGAAACGTCAGAAGATTTGTAAATAGTATTACAGTAGCTTGTAGAAGATTCTTTAAAAACTTGATATTACAGTATTTGAAAAATAGACTTAATTTAATCTAAAATATACTAGATAATGATATAATTTCCTGGTTAAATCGTAGAAATATAAGAGTTTGACAACGCTGTGGAGCATATGACAATCATCATTAGAATTGCCATCGTCTAGCTTCACTTACAGTAGCGCTTGTTGCGCCTAGGTGCACTTACAGTAGTGCTATTGGCGCCCGCGTTCACTTACGGTGGTGCTGTTACGGTAGTGTTCGTTGCGCCTAGGTGCACTTACAGTAGTGCTATTGGCGCCCGCGTGCACTTACGGTGGCGCTGTTAGCGCCTAGGTGCTGTTACGGTAGTGTTCGTTGCGCCTAGGTGCACTTACGGTAGTGCTTGTTGCGTCTAGGTGTACTTACAGTAGTGCTTGTTGTCTTTTCGAGGCATGACGCAGCACCAGTAGAGGAGGCAGGCCCCGAGGATTGCGACGATCAGTGCGGCCCCGCAGAACACTGCCGCCAACACGGGCAAACGGCCAGAGGCGGCGGACGACGCTTTCCAGCCGGGGGCGGCGTCGGTGGGTTCCGGCCACATGCTCGCCGTCAACGTCACCCACTGCCGCTGCAGCACGACGCCACCGCGACCGCCGCCGACGCGCAGCGTTTCGGAAGGGACGGCGCCGCCATCAAGGATCGACGTCGATCCCGAATCGCCTGCGGAAAAACGCTTTGAGTTCACCGAGCACGCTAGTTATGATTAGAGAATATAAAGATAAAATGTTCTAATTCTATAGTGATTGATGTGGTTGATGGTATTGTGGAACCTTTACAATGAATTTTCTTGTGGACCTGATGGAATTCCGGTTATGGTTATCTGCAGTAGATATAAGATTTTTACCTCTTTTGGAAAATAAAAGGTTTAACATACATTTATAAAAGCAGCCAGTAATTCGTTGTAGATCCACGACAACAAATTTGTCGACATACCAGCAATATCTGCTAAGTGCCTTTGACAATTTTAGTCAACTAGACTGGTCTAATTATAAATAGCGCCTGGGTTTTATAATACGCAACTGTAATCAAGTTACTCTGATCTGCTTCAAACTGCTCTACACTTCTCTAGTGCGCTCTAGAATTGAGTATGCGTCAGTGTTATGGTTTTCATACTATGCTTGTCATATGTCACATTAGCGTTTTTCAGATCTTTGAGTTCGAAGGAAATCAACATATATATAATGGTTATCCTATTGATTGTGTTAGAAGTTAGGTCTCCCGTTGATGTATTAACTTCTATGTAAAAAAAATGAATGTATGTATATGTATAAACATCGGTTATGGAAGCCGTAGTGAGTCAATGTTTCGTATTACTTTTCCTGGTTAATTACAGTCAAAAAGACTATGGGGTAAGTAAATTAATAACGACAGTTCAGCATTGTAATGGAGTTCAAAACCGTCCACCTGAATTTTGATTATTTTCGTCAAAAATCTATGCCTTGTTTGGTTGAATTTTTTTTCCAAATATAGGGATTTCTGGCTCATTTTGGTTAGTTGATTTGATAAGCCTTTAGGAGGGCAACTGCAATCAGACTCCTGTCCCGACCTTTTGTGGCATAAGCAATTTTTTCTGTATTTGCACAACGGATATGGTGGCTATTAGTCATACCCTGGATCTGAGAGATCATTAGTATTCGCATTCCGTGTAATGAAATTGCGGATACAGCAGCTAAAGAATATTTTACCCTTATGTCAGGCAGAATCCTTGAATTAATCGCTCCTCAACCAAGCCATGGTTTTAGTCTTCTCGAGCAACAACCATTTACTGTTTACAAATCTTTTTGAAGGATTTTTAACCATCAGGCCAAATGACAAAAGTATCATCGACATAGCGTCCCCATAATTTTGGTTTCAGATGGAAGGTGTTGACGATTTTCTTCTCAAGAAAAAAATATGTTCCAGGAATGGGGACTTTAGTAAAGAGGGATTCTACGTCGAAACTAACAACACACTAGGCAACTACACACCAGTAGTAGTTTCAGTTAAGCTTTGAAGAAGCTAACAGGATGGTTGGCAAAACGTCAGCAAGTTTGAGTTTGACTCTCTTCTTTTCATCCTCATGCTGTGGAATACACAACACGTACTTTAGGAATGTTCTTTATGGCTTAGTGCATAGATACTTGGATATTCGGCATCTGCGTGGTCTGATATTAATTTTGCTACTGGATACTTCAATTTTTTTTTTAATTTTTTTTTAGTACTTTCTCTCAAATAAACTACGGGTGCTGCAATTAATAACGACAGTTCATCGTTTTTCCGGTTAAGTGTCTGCTCAGTCTAATTGAGTTACGGCCGCCCCTAATAAAATCACCTAAAAAAAGGAAATTTACGACGTTTTCCGAAAGTTCCAGAAAACGGGTTTATGCTTTCCTCGCCGAACGAAGATTAAAAGTCACATCAGCGAAGTGTTGAAACGCTTGAGGCGACGATGTTCGGCGGGAATTATGACCATTTTCACGGACCCGTCTCTCCAAATAAATCCGCCAATATTAACCAGTCCCCTTTAACTTATCAACCGTAGCAATAAGCGCATGCTCGTCGCTATTTTCATGGTCTACAAAGTTTGATATACTAGTTTGGTTAGTTTTGGACTGAATTGGTTTTACTAGTCTAGTCTGCTGCAGATGCTTTAACTTCATTGAAGAGTTGCATTGGTCGAGAATAGACAATTTATTCGAATACCTGTTCTCTATGGTCTTAAAGACTTCTTCTTCTTCTTAAAAGATAAATTAGTTTTCCGTAGCGAAATCCATAATGTAAATGTTAGGGCGAAGACGCTCACTGCGCCACAACACAGGACTGCTCTTTACAAGCAGGTATTTATATATAATGCGCCGATTACATTTGTTCCGAAAGAACACTAAAGATACGAGGTTAGCGCCAAAATTATGATGATAATAGATGCAGCTCCAATATCACGATAAAACTTGGTCTTCTTTTAAATATATATCTTAGTAGATTGCGAAAAAAAAAACAACATGGGTTCCTAAAAACCTTTCGGCTATTCAAAAACAACGCCGTGTCGAGTGTGGGCGGTCTTTTTTGGAACTCTGTGCGTCGGTACCGAAGCCTGTGATAGAAACTATTGTGAGGGGAGATGAAACTATGGTTCTCTATTATGACCCTTTATCGAAAAAAGAATCAATGGAGTGGCGTCATAAGAAAATTCAGAGTCAGCCAGTCCACAAAAAAGGTGATGGCCACGATGTTTTGGGATTGCGAAAGAATTCTTTTGATAGATTTTAATGAATATAATACCACTGTCAATGGTAAATATTACATAAATTGCGAGACTGCATACGTGTACAACGTCGAGGAAAACTGACCAGAGGCGTGCGTCTTTTGCAGGATAATGCACCTGTCCATACTGCGGGTGTTGCACAAGCTGCCATTTTAGAATGTGGGTTCCACCAAACAGATCATCCTCCCTATAGTCCACATATGGCCCCCAGCGACTATTATTTGTTTGGATATTTGAAAAAGGACTTATGTGGACGGCGGTTTAACGACGAAGTTGAGCTAAAAGATACTGTTTTGGTTAAAGGGGATTATATTGAAAAATAATAAAACATTGTTACTCTACTTTGTTTCTATCATATCCAGCCCGGGAAATTTATATAATATAATAATAATAATAATAATAATAATAATAATAAATAATAATCATATAATTTTATTAAAAAGGATACCTGAAAACCATACACTTTTTTTGGTCAGCTGGCTATCCAAATCATAGAATAATATATTTATGGGATTTCGGGTAAAATTACTGACGTTCGCTGTTGAGAAATTTGAGAACATAGACTCCTTTTTACCTGATTTCCAGAGATATTTTTTTCAAGAGAAACTATACTGCACGCAGCGGTTAGTTGCAGATACGGACACAGAACATTCTTCGATGACTTTTGGTTAGTTTGATTTACGTTGACGACACGTAAATCGCACGGCAGGCGAGATAATTATAATCTTAATAAGCCGCCTATGGACTATAGCTCGCGGTACTAAAACACGGCGATTACCAAAAACGTTCGTGGCCGAGGAAATGGCCGGAGGACGGGCAATATGAAAAAGCCCTTTCTATTTTCGCGATATGGCAGCGGCGCGAAGAAATTAAAAGTTTTCATTAAACGGGAGTTGAGACATTTTTCCTCCCTGTGCCTTTTCGTCGTTATTAATTTTGTTTTTGTATAAATGTAAAGAAAAAATGACTTAATACGATTGCGCGGCTTACACCACAGACTGTTTGAAATGGAGTGGAACGGTGTTGGACAAACTTGGGCACAAAAATCGTTGATTTTTTTTATTACATGATATGTATTTCCCGTTTTTTTTTTTTTTGTGGCGGTCACAAAATATTTTAAAGCCACTGTAAACATACACACTAAATTTTCGTCAGAACGCGCTTTTCGAAAAAAAAATCTGTGTTTAGTTGGTGACTTGTCAAAGGAGTGGAACTAGTGAAACAGATCATTTGGTGAAAACATTTAAATGGCTGGGAGAAAAGAAAATAGCGTGCGGCAGTTTTACAAATCGTGGTTAAGAATAGTCCATAATAACATTATTATTTATTTTAGTGAGTTTTTTATGGTTATCTGCGATTACATGCTTCTCTTCATTAGTAGATTTTAGGAATTATTATTATTTTAACCAAATATTTTAATAAAACAATTAGCATTGCGTTGGCCACCTAAAGAATTTTTATAAAATCTTCGCTGAAAAACTAAAAATCTTAGTTATTTTACAAATAAGATGGAAATGGAACAAAAGTTTGCTAAATTAATTTAAAATTATTGAAAAAAATAATCATGAGAAAATTATTAATATTATTAATATTTATATAAATAATATTAATTATTAATATAAATTTTTTATATTTTGGGTTTTTAGAATCATTTACTTACTTTAAAAAGTTAAGCATCATACATGTTCGTATATGCGTAGATTCTTTTTTTTTTTTCAAAAATGCTGTGGTGTTTACTGGATTTGTATATACACACTTACGTAAGTACAATAACGGTCACTTTCATCCGTCAATAAATAAATAGACAACAATTTATAACCTTCATTTTCTTTAAGGCTTGTCTATCTATGCCTGTTGAAAAGCACGGGTATTTCAATTCGCAGATTCATTTTTTTTTCAAAAATGTGGTGGTGCCCACTGATTTCGTATACACACACTTAAGTAAGTATAATAACGGTCACTTTCATCCGTCAATAAATAAATAGAAAACAATTTATAACCTTCATTTTCTTTAAGGCTTGTCTATCTATGCCTGTTGAAAAGCACGGGTATTTCAATTCGCAGATTCATTTTTTTTTTCAAAAATGTGGTGGTGCCCACTGATTTCGTATACACACACTTAAGTAAGTATAATAACGGTCACTTTCATCCGTCAATAAATAAATAGAAAACAATTTATAACCTTCATTTTCTTTAAGGCTTGTCTATCTATGCCTGTTGAAAAGCACGGGTATTTCAATTCGCAGATTCATTTTTTTTTCAAAAATGTGGTGGTGCCCACTGATTTCGTATACACACACTTAAGTAAGTATAATAACGGTCACTTTCATCCGTCAATAAATAAATAGAAAACAATTTATAACCTTCATTTTCTTTAAGGCTTGTCTATCTATGCCTGTTGAAAAGCACGGGTATTTCA